AAGGTCAAATATCCGTGATTTGACCTTTAAGGTCAAATATTTTTAATAAGGTATATATTAGGTAACTCGAGATTCTGACCCTAGCTATCGAATGCGACCATCAGAAATTGGATCAGACGATCGGTGTAGAAAAAATAGGGGGATTTAAAATTTCAATCCGTGATTTGACCTTTAAGGTCAAATATTTTTAATAAGGTATATATTAGGGAACTCGAGATTCTGACCCTAGCTATCGAATGCGACCATCAGAATTCGGATCGGACGATCGGTGTAGAAAAAATAGGGGGACTCAAAATTTCAATCCGTAATTTGACCTTTAAGGTCAAATATTTTTAATAAGGTATATAGTAGGGAACTCGAGATTCTGACCCTAGCTATCGAATGCGATCATCAGAATTTGGTTCGAACGATCGGTGTAGAAAAAATAGGGGGACTCAAAATTTCAATCCGTGATTTGACCTTAAAGGTCAAATATTTTTAGTAAGGTATATATTAGGGAATTCGAGATTCTGACCCTAGCTATCGAATGCGACCTTCGGAAATCGGATCGGACGATCGGTGTAGAAAAAATCGGGGGACACAAAATTTCAATCAGTGATGTGACCTTTAAGGTCAAATATCCGTGATTTGACCGTTAAGGTCAAATATTTTTAATAAGATATATATTAGGGAACTCGAGATTCTGACCCTAGCTATCGAATGCGACCATCAGAAATGGGATCGGACGATCGGTGTAGAAAAAATAGGGGGACTCAAAATTTCAATCCGTGATTTGACCTTTAAGGTCAAATATTTTTAATAAGGTATATATTAGGGAACTCGAGATTCTGACCCTAGCTATCGAATGCGACCATCAGAATTCGGATTGGACGATCGGTGTAGAAAAATTAGGGGGACTCAAAATTTTAATACGTGATTTGACCTTTAAGGTCAAATATTTTTAATAAGGTATATATTAGGGAACTCGAGATTCTGACCCTAGCTATCGAATGCGACCATCAGAAATCGGATCGGACGATCGGTGTAGAAAAAATAGGGGGACTCAAAATTTCAATCCGTGATTTGACCTTTAAGGTCAAATATTTTTAATAAGGTATATATTAGGGAATTCGAGATTCTGACCCTAGCTATCGAATGCGACCTTCAGAAATTGGATCGGACGATCGGTGTAGGAAAAATCGGGGACTCAATTTCAATCCGTGATTTGACCTTTAAGATGACCTTGAAATTTGAAATGAATACGATATTCGGAATCACCGTCCCAAACTACATCGGATAGGTTGGGTTTAGTTCAAATTCGGACTCGACGCTGAATCCGTCGCGGAATACGACGCTAACTTCACGCACGTGGCGGGCTGTGCGTCTGGGACTGTGCCACAGCCCACCGGTGGGAGGGGTCCGGACGAAGCGACGGTAGGACACAGCCTAAACAGGGAAGGGACTGTCACTTCAGGTGCGTGGACTTTTCATTTTGGAAAATGGAATGCTTACTGTCCAGGAAATGTCTAAGGGTTTTTCGTGATCGTGGAAATTGGCTCGCCTCAGAGTCGGTATTTAAAATTGAAATACGTTTTCCTAATCCGGTACTTAACAATCTTCCGAGCTCCCAGCTTGATAATAACCGAGCGCCCGAAAGATTAGCCGTTATTCTGCGGATGGCTCCCCGCTATAGTACTTACCAACTGCCAATTATCCGAGGTAATGTTCGCAAGTACCACAGATAATATCCTTCAGAGACCATTTTCTGAATACCACATAAAGCCTAAGCAATGCGGCATCAGGTAGGCGGACGGAGCACTGATCCTCTGGTCAGAGGTCTGGATGCGCTGTCAAAGACTACTCTGGTACTTGCAGGTAATTGGTGACTGAACATGGACTAGGTCCGAGTCCGCGGCGCGGCGTGAGAGCCAGCCAGTCGATTTTTACTGGCTTTTGAGCTTATCGTGACGGTGGGAGTAACCAAATGTTTGTGTTTGATAATTAAAAACACCATTCGTTAGAGTTGTGTTTTTCTATTGGAAAAAACCTGAGTCCCCGGACATTTTCGCATATGGTGCTGTGTCTGGCTGCTGTGGAAGAGCGGACTAATGCGGTGCAGCTCAATTCGTCCCCGTCTGTCCGCCATCTGACAGCGCAGTGCGTAGTGCGTACCGTCTGAGAGTTCACGCCACGTGACTCCTGACGCGTGACGAGTAAGTCTGTCCTGCCTGCCACTGTCGGTCTGTCAGACCTACTCGCCCTAGCGAGGGTGGGCGACAGTGGCAGCTCGTCTCTCATCCGCCGGCCCTGACAGTGTGACGATACGCTGGGGAGCTGATGTTCACTACCCGTTCGACACCCTTCCGCCTCCCGCCGGCCGCCCTTGAAACCGGTGTTTGGCCGGCAGTAGACGCGTCCAGGGGCGGCAAATAAACGTCAGTCTCGGGCTCACTCGAAAATATTAGTGCATTGTGACCGCAATGCACTTGACCTAAGTATGATTGCCATCCGTCGAAGGTCCCATGTAAGTTTATGAATAGCCCGATGTAGGTTTATGTGTTCATGTGACCGCTCACGATGTATACTAATGCTCTGAGGTCGTCAAACGCCCGTGTCTGACTTTATATGATGATGGGCTGGGTGGGCCCTCTCTGTCGGGCTGGGTGCACCTATATTTTAGAAGGAACTTGGTGCACCCTGCCGGGCTGCAAGGCCTGTAGTCGGCTATTACAAATACAAGAATACAAGAATACAAGAATACAAGAATGTTGGGCTGGATGCGTCATTTGGAAGTCGTGCGCGATAAGCCCTGTGTCTATGACCGCCGTCTACCGAGAGGGGTCCCGGGTCCGTATACAGTCGTCCTCAAAATTATTCATACCCTTGTTAATTTACGACATATTTTGCTTTTTTGATGAAAAGAAAACATTTTGTCGAGCTTATTTATGATTTATATATGACCAACAGGGGAATGAATAACAGCAACATACAACTGATAAAATATTCAGTTTCAGGTCTGTTTTATTCATGAATCTTTGAAAACACTCATGTTCAAAAATATTCATACCCTTGGTTTTCAGAGTTCAGTGTCTTTCTTCAGTAGTCGATAGCATATCCTTTGTTCCTTATTACTGCTTCTAGTCGGTTCCTGTAGGTGCTCACAAGCTTGCCACACGTTTCCTGTGGGATTTTGGCCCATTCTTCCCTGGCGAAAGCCTCCAGCTGGGTCAGGCTAGTCGGTTTCCTGGCCGTCACTCGGGTCTTCAAGTCCCGCCATAGATTCTCTATGGGATTCAGATCAGGACTCTGACTAGACCACTCGAGGACGCTGATATCATTGTCCTCGAACCATTCCTTGACTACTTTAGCCCTGTGTTTGGGATCATTGTCTTGCTGGAACTTCCAGTTGTTGCCGAGTTCCAGCTTCTCTGCAGATTCCTTCAGGTTTTCGTCCAGAATTTGGATATAGTCCTCCTTTCTCATGGTGCCCTGGATCCTGACGAGGTTTCCTGTGCCGCGGGAAGAGAAGCATCGCCACAACATGATGTTTCTGCCACCGTGCTTGACGGTTGGCACCGTGTTCTTGGGATTGTAGGCCTCTCCTTTACTCCTCCAAACATATGCAGCATCCATGTGTCCAAACAACTCCAACTTCGTCTCATCAGACCACAGGATGTTTGCCCAGAAGTTGGAATCTTGCTGCATATTGCCTCTAGCAAGGCTCGCCTGGCCTTTGCAAGGCTCGCCTGGCCTTTGCTAGAGGCAATATGCAGCAAGATTCCAACTTCTGGGCAAACATCCTGTGGTCTGATGAGACGAAGTTGGAGTTGTTTGGGCACATGGATGCTGCATATGTTTGGAGGAGTAAAGGAGAGGCCTACAATCCCAAGAACACGGTGCCAACCGTCAAGCACGGTGGCAGAAACATCATGTTGTGGCGATGCTTCTCTTCCCGCGGCACAGGAAACCTCGTCAGGATCCAGGGCACCATGAGAAAGGAGGACTATATCCAAATTCTGGACGAAAACCTGAAGGAATCTGCAGAGAAGCTGGAACTCGGCAACAACTGGAAGTTCCAGCAATACAATGATCCCAAACACACGGCTAAAGTAGTCAAGGAATGGTTCGAGGACAATGATATCAGCGTCCTCGAGTGGCCTAGTCAGAGTCCTGATCTGAATCCCATAGAGAATCTATGGCGGGACTTGAAGACCCGAGTGACGGCCAGGAAACCGACTAGCCTGACCCAGCTGGAGGCTTTCGCCAGGGAAGAATGGGCCAAAATCCCACAGAAAACGTGTGGCAAGCTTGTGAGCACCTACAGGAACCGACTAGAAGCAGTAATAAGGAACAAAGGATATGCTATCGACTACTGAAGAAAGACACTGAACTCTGAAAACCAAGGGTATGAATATTTTTGAACATGAGTGTTTTCAAAGATTCATGAATAAAACAGACCTGAAACTGAATATTTTATCAGTTGTATGTTGCTGTTATTCATTCCCCTGTTGGTCATATATAAATCATAAATAAGCTCGACAAAATGTTTTCTTTTCATCAAAAAAGCAAAATATGTCGTAAATTAACAAGGGTATGAATAATTTTGAGGACGACTGTAGGTGGATACGACGGTGGTTCTCCTATCTGTGTGTAAGGTCTCCTCTGGCCACTTATGTTTGTCCGTCGTATGTTCTCTGACTGCCTATGTCCCCCGACTGTCCACTGTTGTCTGCTAACTGCTCTCCTGTCCGCGGCGGCATGTCCGTACACATGTAAATGACGGTCGTGCCTCTATACCTCGCCGAACCGCGGTGCTCCCTGGCTATCCTGTGCTCATCGCCCGCCTCCCTCCGTCTGCGGCAGGTCCGTACACAGGTATAGGACTCACTGGCTATCCGGTGCTCACCGCCCGCCCTCCTCTACAGCGGGTCCGTACACAGGTATAGGACGGCCTTCTGTATGACTCGCCGTGCCGCGGTGCTATCCTGTGCTCACCGCCCGCCTCCCTCCGTCTGCGACAGGTCCGTACACGGAGATGCTGATGAACCCAGTGGTGCCCGGCCTGGACGCCGGCCTCACGCAGAAGGACGCCCTCTTCTTCTCGCCGCACAAGATGATCGGAGGCGTGCAGACACCGGGTGAGACGCCGAGGACCGGACGGGGCTAGTGTCAGTCTAGGGGCGCGCCGGTGGGGACCGGGCTGGAGTCTGAGTCTGGGGCAGTTCTCTGTGTCTGTGAGACCGCTTTCTATGTCTCCAAACTGCCTGCTTTCTTCAGGTTGCTATCCGGCTGTGACCTTGGTACTTGCGTGTCCTTGCCATTTTTTTTTTAGACTTCTGATCTTGACATAATATGCGTAAAATTTGTATTTGGGAAATGTTCGCTGTAAAACCTGTTTCGCCTTAAAACTGGATATATGTAGAATTGTAGACGGACACCCCATTTTTTGTTATTCGGCGAGCATTAGAGTCGAGGAATCCCGGCGACATATTTCCGACGTGTAGCTAACGCCTGACCGCACCAGCGCCTGACCCCGTATCCGTGTCAAACTGCGGTCGCGGGACGCTCGGCCTCCGCCGCAGAGTGGCTGATCTTGTTAGCACGCGCGGGGGACCACCCGAGTGGCAGCCTGCACTCTCAGGCTAATGAGCTCCCTTTACGACCGGCGCCGATCTATGCCGCGCGCACTGAGTAGCTGGGGAGGGATCGATGGGACTGAGCGGATGCTCCGCTGACGGTTTGGGGCTATCTGCCTCCCCAGTCTGGTATGCGGGCTGAGTTTGGGCAGGGAGTGCGTGCCACCCTCTGTAGGCGGTGCGGTCCCGACGGCCGATATTGCTGCACGTGTTCGCGATGACGGTAGCATAGGCGGCGCGGAATATAGGCGGCACAGAATGTCGTAGACTATATATTCCGTGATAGGCGGTGAGCTGCGTGAGCCGGGGTCAGCAGGTACAGTGATCGGGTCAGCAGTTGTGTGATCTCTGGGGTCAACAGCTTTGGTGGGTGGAGTTCAGCAGTTACAGGGTCTGGGTGTAGATACTTAAGCTGGGGGGGGGGGGAGGGGAGGGGCAGCGCTTGTGCTGGATGTCGCTTCGCGATAATTCCCCGACATCAAATTTGAACATTTTACTTGTAGTCGGTTAACGTTCGTTTTCGAATGTGCCTAATCATGGACCACGCCTATAGCGTTTGGGGTCGTCGGATTAAGACAACACTTGGTCGGATGCTTGATAAAGGCATGGCCTTATGTTTGATCAATTTTCCAATCAATCGACGATGTGAAGGTGATCACGGTCATACAGTTCTTGTTCGTCGTTTTATGATTTGTTTTTGCCCTTGTTGGGCACAGGTGGCGACTGGCGAATTGTGCTGACTAATCGTTACCTTCTTTACGGACATCGCTCCTGAAATTTACAGCGGTTGGCTCCGCTGAATCTGATTATCGGCGTAAAGCCCCAGGACCTTATGTTGCTCGTTATGGCGGTGACTGTCGCCTGGTCTCTGTCTGCCCTCCGTACTGTGTTTGGGCGGTCTGTTTGTCCCGGTGTTTGTGCCGTCGGACCGTGTTTGTCTGGCTGGCGTCGTGCGACTGGTGACGGAGACACCTGGGCTGCCTGTTGACAGTGTTGACACTGCCCTCCTTCAGTGTGACACGCCAATTTCCGTATGGTGACGCGTCCTTGGCCTAGAGTGACATGTCACTTCCTTGTGGTGACAAGTATTCTCGCTTGATGACACGTCTCCTCGTTAGTCACGCGTCCTTTCTTGGTGACACTTTTAGTATCCTTGTGGTGACACCCTGGCTTCCTAGGACTCGTCTTGCCTATGCTAAAACGTCCCCCCCCCCTATCATGGCACATCTTCCCTATGCTCTCACGCTATCCCTTTAGTGACACATCTCCCCCATGCTCTCACGTCTCCTCTTTTGGTGACACTCCCTCCCTCCCTCGCGCTACGCCTGCAGGTGTGCTGGTGGTGAAGAAGCGTCTCGTTCGGAACTCTGTGCCCGAGGGTGCCGGCGGCGGTACTGTGTTCTTTGTCCGCCGAGAGAACCACCGGTATCTGCAGGTGGGTCACAGTGGCGGCTCTATGCGCCTGACGACTCTCTCATCGCCACTGCACTAGGGCATATCGCCCTGGCGGGGAACGGGGCACACATGTTATTCGATTCATGTCATCTGACATGGAAGGATACGATTTGCTACTTTGTACTTCAATAAAAATGGCATGAAAACAGTATATTTTTTCATGGGATCGTCCTTTGGTCGCACTTTTTCGCTCATGTCCTGTCAGATATCCTTGTGATTCGCGTTTGCTTGTTCTCCGGCGATCACATTGACCTGTGCTTCCGACGGTTGACCCCGGCGAGTGATCTGTGACCCGAGATCTGCCCGCCCCGCGCCAGGATATCGAGTCTCGGGAGGAGGGCGGCACTCCGGGTATCGTGGAGTCGATCCGCGCCGGCCTGGTACTGCAGCTCAAGGAGGCGCTGGGACCCGACCAGATCCGCGCCTGGGACGACGCCATAGTCAGGTGAGGGGCCATAGTCAGGTACGGGCCCGACAAGATCCGCGCCTGGGACGACGCCATAGTCAGGTGAGCTGGCTGTAGTTAGATAGGGAGATGACATAGCCAGGTGGGAAGGACGACTGCCTACTAACGGTGAGATGTGGGTTTCTCAGGACGACATGGTCGAGTGAGGAAGGGAGAGCGAGCCATAAAAGCGCCATAGTTCAGCCTGTCTGTCGCTGAACAGCTCCAGTGATCCAGAGAGCAGCGTTTTGTTGTCTTTGGTCCCGCGTCCCGTACGCTTCCTTTCCGAGCCGATCACTACAACAGCTGTCCCCGGTGTGAGTAGATTTTCACCGCCGCCGGCTGGGCTGGGACGGTGCACACGGCTCCGTCAGTCAGTCAGTCAGTGTAGTTCTGTCGGAGTGCAGCCATCGCCGACAGTCACCTGTAAAGAGCGCGGCGCACGTCGGTCGCTGTCCGCCGGCAGAGCTCTGACCCCCTCCCCTCCCCACGGCCACCGGGGTGGTGCCATTTAATCAGCGGTCTCCGGGGAGCGCCTGGCCGGGACGCCGTCCGGGCGGTGTCGGCGGGCTGCGCGGACTGGTCACCGTCGGACCGACCGACTGCCCCGCTCCGGGGACGGGGTGTTACCTGGGGAGGTCGGGCGGTGTTGGCAGCAACCAGGTGATGGTTGGCACCGGGACACGCCCAGATTGGGTTGGTCCAAATTGGTCTTCGGTGCTAGGCAGATAGATAAAAGGTGTTGTGGAGATGCATTAGAGTATCGAACAGTGTCAGATTTATCGATGATGCAACATAATCATCATAAATATTTACGATTTTCTTAGATCCGGGAGTTACTTCTTTCGCATAGTTATATATCATAACCGTTTGGCCACAGTATCATGGAGTCGTCGGAAGAATCAAATATTGGCTGTATTTTTTTTTTTATTAATGTGTCCGTTTGTTCTGCTCTTGGACTTCGGTTCGTTCTGTGACGGCATATTTGCTCGACAATCACTTCTCTCCATTTCCCATTCGTCTGTGGCGTTTTGGCCTTGGTGTCGCGTGCGGCGGCATATCTTTCCGCATAGCGTCTCGTCATAAAGCGTCCTTCTCCTGTTGTGTGCCTACCCTGATTGGACGGCCGGCGGTGTTGACATAGGCGGTCTCGATCGGTGTCGACCCGCCTCCGACCGGCCCGGCCCTCCCCGGCCCGCCTCTGACCGGCCCGGCCCGGCTTTGGTACCGCGAACTTGGCTCGGGGAGCAGTGACGAGGACTGTTTCCAACTGGGGAGATGACAACCACGCGGTAATCACTGTCGTCAAACACGGAGCGACCTATGTGATCCTCGCGGCAGACGGCGCGGTGCGGGTGGACCGAATCGTACCCGCGTGCGGCTGCTCCGACCTTGAACTTTGACTCCCGCCGGGCACGTTAGAGCCGCCGATCTGTCTCCGCCCGGTGGTTTTTGTGACGATCGAAAAGTCGAGCTGGCCCAACAAGAACACATTCGCTAATGGACTGCTGGGGGCAGTGCGGTGATTGTCGAGTGGGAGGGATCGGTTTTTGTGGCGCTTACATGGCCGCGCTCAATTCGCGAGGCCAGGTGTGCCTTGATAGATGGATGGTGAGCCGCTTCTCACTTCAGTCAAGTGAGACAGAATATGTATTGCTTATGCATCGCTCAATGTCATACAGTTTGGAAATGACAATAGCGGTCTGCTGTGGATTAGCTCCAACATGCTGAGAAAACGTGCGTTTTGACTGGGTTCTATGGTGCGTGTGGAAGAGCGCATTTTTACCCTCGCTGGAACGCCGGACTAGCCTGTAATGTCGTCACTCCAGTCCTTGGTGAAATTTTACGTGAAGTAGTTGTCAGGGATGAAGGAGGTCGCTTATCTCGTTACGTTTTCGTTGATCGTTCAGCCTCAGGAGGATGGCCATTGGCCTATTGTGGTGACGAGAACATGATGGTGCTAAACAGACAGGCAAATCTGTAAATACGTAAACTCGATTTGCATCACCTGACCTAAACCATTGTACTATCTTGTGTCCTGCTAGGTTCGAGTGAACCACCGGCTATCTCGCCTTCTGTGGTATGAATTGGCATTCATGCCTCAGTCCGGCCCGGAGTCTAACCCGCCCGTTCTCTGTGTTTCAGCCGGTTTCTGCGCGAGGCCCGCTCGATGCCCCAGCTCGCGCTGCTCGGTCCGCGCTCCTCCCTCTGTCCGCGGCTGCCAGTCTTCTCCTTTCTGGTGGTGACACCTAGTGGCGCGTTCCTGCACCACAACTTTGTGGCGGCGCTGCTGAACGACCTGTTCGGGGTGCAGACGCGCGGCGGCTGCGCCTGCGCCGGCCCCTACGCCCAGGACCTGCTGGGCATCGACGAGACGCTGGCCGCACGATACGAGCGGGTACTCGTCGAGGACAGGTGGGTGGATGGATAGGGAGCTTCGATCTGGCTCGGGGGAGTGAGCGGTCGTGATTGGACTCGCAAAGTCTAACAGGGATCATGAGGCCGCGTTATGTTTTTTTTTTCGCATTATTTACTACCTCCGGTTCTATTCGTCCCGCCTTCCCAACTAGCATTCATGACATTTTCTGTGACAGTCTGTGACATATTCTAGTGACATGATATAGGTGACCCTTGATGGCTCTGACAACTCGTCGTGACCTGCAACAGTCTGGTGACCTGTATTCCCTGTGACCTCTGGTGGCCTCTGGCGACCTGTGACCTCTTGTGACCTCTGGTGGTCTCTGGTGACCTGTGACCTCTTGTGACCTCTGGCGACCTTTGACCCGGTGACCCGTGACCCTGGATGCCCGGTGTGACCGGTGACCATGTGGTGACCTGTGTCGACCTGTGACCTCTGGCAGCCGGCTGGACCGCACCCACCTGCGCCGCCAGGGCGAGTACTCGTCCTACGAGCTGCTGCGGCCCGGCTTCACGCGGCTGACGCTCAGCTACCTGCTGTCAGAGGACGAGCTGGAGCACACCATCGCAGCGCTGAGGTCAGTGGCGAGAGGGCTTGAGGAGTGGGGACGGATTGGAGCATTGTGAATGTGGGGAGGGATAGGCAGAGGGAAGCTGATGCATGGGAGGGAGAGGAAGTGGTTGTCAGGACATGTGGAATAGTTGAAGGTCCTTCGTGTCTCGTTCCCCGCTGCGTTCTCTGGTGTTTGCTCTGACTCTGTCTCTGCCTCTCTCCTGCTGTAGGCTGGTGTGTGATTGGTGTGAACGCCCTCTAACAGTGTCTATCTGCCTCCCCCTGCCTTTGGCTGGTGTGCTCAGTATTATCGCGTTCTAACTGTGTCTCTCCCTCTCCCTGTCTCAGGCTGGTGTGTGAGCACGGCTGGAAGCTGCTGCCCCAGTACCGGGTCAACCCGGAGACGGGCGAGTGGCGGCACCACTCTAACCTGGTACGCCACGCCGGGGCCACGAGCCCGTCACTGCACTTTACCGACGACCAGTCACTGGCGTAATTTGTGTCGTACTTTTATTCTGCTTTGGCATACTGCAGTCATTAAACTGATTGATATTTGGCTCATCAGACGAGCAGGAAAATTGGTTTACAAGCTAAATGATACATAGCTTTGGCCTTTGATCATTGCATATCAGTGTTGGGCATAAATTGTCCGAGTCTTCCTGACTCTTTTTCCAAACATATCTTGTAACTGATATTAACTATTTGATGCTCACAGTTCCTGTCTGAAGGTAACGTCTGTCTGTGCTCGTTCCCGTCCGCTGTGGATCCGGTCCCGGCGCTGACCCCTCCCCTGCTCGACCCGCTCCAGGTTCTGAAGGAGCGCCGGTGGCTGGGCGACATCCGCTACACGTCTGGCGCGATGGAGGTGCGCCGGCGTAGCGACCACCCGGCGCCTCCCGACCTGGCCGGCTGCCTCCGCCGCGCCCGCGCACACATCGACGACGCCAAAAAGGTGCGTAATGCGTATCGACGGCAAGGTGGCTCGTAGGGGAGGGATGCTGAGGTGGCCGTTGCAACCTTTGTGTTATTAACTCCTGCTATTTATGTTGATCCTGTACAGTTTTCCTTTTTAATATTCGTCACATTTGTGCCTGTCCTTAAAGTTCTATTGCCTCATTAGAAACCTTGCCTGTTTTTACTCATTTCCGAGTAAATCGTGCCGTTTCCCCGCGCCTTATGTTGTGTAGTTTTATGCAACTCCTCACCTCGCTTGTCTGATGTGTCCCCGTCCCCTTTCAGATGTGTCCGCGCCAGGTGCCCGATCACAGCGCCATGTTTGACGACTCGACGGCCGACCTGCGCTGGTTCCTGCTGCCCAACGAGGCGCGACAGATGCTGCACGGCACCCCGGTGACGCTCAGCCCGCCGTTCAAACCCCGGGTGAGTAAATAATTCTGCCGTGCAAAGGCAAAAATACATTGTGAGGTCAGAATCTGACCTCACAATGTAGTTTTTGCCTTTGCACGGCGGAGTGGCCGCGGTAGGATGAGGGTGGGCGGTGAAGTGTAGGTTGCGGTGCCGACCTAATCAGCGCTTTTCTGGCCAGCCGTTTGTGCTTTGTTGAATATAATTATCGGCCAATGTATCGTTACATTTCTGTGTCTTTGAGTTTGAAAGCTGTCAAATTGCCGCAGATTTAGTTAGTGAAATTGGCAGTGCTTCTCGTCCAAGTCTTGCTGTTCTCGACCGCTGTTCTGACCTTGCTGCATAGGCATTTTCTGGCCACACCCGCGCTGTCGTAGGCTGTGCTGATTGGTATGCGTCTGAGGTCTGTGCTGATCGATGTACTGTGTCTGCTGTCTGCAGTTGTACACCGGCGCCGGCCGCGGTGCGATGGGCCGTTGTGTGTGTGTGTCTGTCTGCTGTCTGTGCTGACCGATGTGTTCTGTCTGCTGTCTGTGCTGACCGATGTGTTCTGTCTGCTGTCTGCTGTATCTGCTGACCGGTGTGCTCTGTCTGCTGTCTGCAGGTGTACGCCGGCGCCGGTCGCGGTGTGATGTGTCGGTAGTGTCTGTGCTGACCGGTGTACTGTATCTGTTGTCTGGTGACCAGCGTGCTCTGTCTGCTGTCTGCGGCAGGTGTACGCCGGCGCCGGTCGCGGTGTGATCGGTCGGTAGTGTCTGTGCTGACCGGTGTACTGTATCTGTTGTCTGGTGACCAGCGTGCTCTGTCTGCGGCAGGTGTACGCCGGCGCCGGCCGCGGTGTGATGTGTCGGTAGTGTCTGTGCTGACCGGTGTACTGTATCTGTTGTCTGCTGACCAGCGTGCTCTGTCTGCGGCAGGTGTACGCCGGCGCCGGTCGCGGTGTGATGTGTCGGTAGTGTCTGTGCTGACCGGTGTACTGTATCTGTTGTCTGGTGACCAGCGTGCTCTGTCTGCTGTCTGCAGGTGTACGCCGGCGCCGGTCGCGGTGTGATGTGTCGGTAGTGTCTGTGCTGACCGGTGTACTGTATCTGTTGTCTGGTGACCAGCGTGCTCTGTCTGCTGTCTGCAGGTGTACGCCGGCGCCGGCCGCGGTGTGATGTGTCGGTAGTGTCTGTGCTGACCGGTGTACTGTATCTGTTGTCTGGTGACCAGCGTGCTCTGTCTGCTGTCTGCAGGTGTACGCCGGCGCCGGCCGCGGTGTGATGTGTCGGTAGTGTCTGTGCTGACCGGTGTACTGTATCTGTTGTCTGGTGACCAGCGTGCTCTGTCTGCGGCAGGTGTACGCCGGCGCCGGTCGCGGTGTGATGTGTCGGCGCCGCGCCATGTCGGAGAGCGGCGAGCCCCAGCCGGCGCCGGCCGGCTCGGGCGGGCCGCCGTCCCCGTGCACCCCGCCCACCCCACCGGCCACCCCGGTCCTCTACTCGGGCTCCCTGGACCGGGACCGCAGCCGACCGGGCCGGCCGCCGGCCGCCGCCGCAGACACGGCCCGCTCGCCCGGCCGGCCGGCGCACTTCAAACAGCGCGCCATGAGCGTCTCCTGCGGCGGGCACGGCGCCGCCGACCGCCGCCTGTCCGACACGCGCTTCCTGGCGCGCGAGCTGCACAACCTGTTCTTCAGCGGCGCGCGGCCCGCGGCGCCCGCCGCCGCGCCGGCCGTCCCCGGTCCTCCGTCACCGACCGCGCGGGCCACCGCCGTCGGCCGCAGCTCTCCCGACGGTGCCGAGAGCCGGGCCGCTGCCGGCTCGGAGGTAGCGGCCTCGCCGGCAGCTCCGGCGCGCCGGCCGCCGCTGCGCACCCGCTCGGCGACTGCGGTGCTGCCCTCGCTGAGCACGGCGGTACCGGCGTGCTCCGGCTCCCCGGCGGGCTCGCCGCTGGCCTCTCCGTCGGTGGCGGTGCCCTCGCCGGGCGGCGGCCGGCGCGTGGTGGCCGTGTCGGTGCTGCAGTGGCCAGCGCCCTCCCCGCCGGCCGACCGGGCCGTGTTCTCTGTGAGCGGAGACGCCGCGGAGTCGGGCCGGGACGGTCTGTCCGACTGCTGCCGGCCGGCGGAGGTCAGTGACGGGCCGCCGGCCGGTGACGGGGACAGTGTGACGGGTACGGGTAGCGGGGATATGTGTGGGGACCGGGGCGACGCGAAACTGGCCGGCGACAGTGACCCCGCGGACACCGACGGCAGTGCAGTGAATGCGGAACTCGCCAGTGACTCTGCGAAGCTCGCGGAGCCGGCACTGGACAGTAAGGCGGGGCCGGCGGGCGAGCGTGCTGCTCCGACCGAGACCGGGCGACAGGCGGGCGACACGGCGCGCCAGCCGGCGGAGAAAGACAGGAAGGAGAGCGGGCCGCGGTGGCACGCGCCGCCCAAGAACATCTTCAAGAAGGCGGCCGAGGTAGGTGGCGCCACCCGGGTACTGTGCCCGTGCAGAATTGTGGTCTGCTGGCGTAACCTCCCCTTCACAGCACAGACCTCCACATTGCAAATGTAACTAATGTGTTTTTTTTTATTATAGCGTCGAGTCACGCAGCTATCTTTGGAATGCATGACGTACTTCGCTTGTTTGGTTGGACACTGAATTTGTTTAAAATATCCTGGGATAAGTCAGAGGTTCAGCATATTTGCCGGCGTTCTCGTTGGCCACTTAATTCGGCTGCTGGAAGGAAACTGTGTGTTCTTGTGGTCTCAATGGATTGCTCTCCTTGCCGCCGGGGACCGGCCACCTTACCCTCATTGTGACACCGCCCCCGCCGTCGCTCCCAGGCGATCGAGGAGTTCGCGATGCTGCGCGCCGGTGACCGGGTGCTGGTCTGTCTGTCGGGCGGCAAGGACTCGCTCTCCCTGCTGCACGTGCTGCGTCAGTACCGGTTCGTGGCGGCCAGTCGCGGTGCGCCGTTCGAGCTGGGCGCCGTCACCGTGGACCCGCAGAGCAGCCAGTACGACCCGCGCCCGCTCATACCGTACCTGGCCAAACTGGGCGTGCCATACTACTACGAGGTGCAGGGTGAGTGTGTGTGAACTGTGAGCTGACGGGTGTATGGTGGGTTTTTGTGAGCTGACGGGTGTATGATGGGTTTGTGTGAGCTGACGGGTAAAGGGTGAGTTTGTGTGAGCTAGCGTGAGCTGAGAAGAGTAAGGTGAGTTTGTGTGAGCTGAGCTGCTCCTGTGAGATGGAGCGGGTAAGGGGAACGGGGGGCGCTGGTGGGGGGGGGGGGTAAAGGGGGGCACTGGAGGGGGTATGCTCGATAAGCGTCTGACGGTTAAACAGGGAATCGCCGTTTGTTGAATGAACGCCAGCTCACTATCGCTGTTGGATCGCTGAGTTTGAATTTGAACTGATTATCTTGCACGTTGCTCGTATTTGGTCATGGGTTGGGCAATCGGAGCACGTGATTTCACTATTATTTGCTGTGGGATTGTGCCGGGTGCTGCCCCGGATGGTGAGTAACGGCATGCTGGGTAGGTACGACTAGTGACTACTGTATGTGGCGACGGGTACTGGTTATAATGTGTCGCTGAGAAACACAGTTGTCTTGGCACCATGAGAATTCCTAAGGCAAGACATGTATAAGAATGCAGATACTTCAGATAACGAGAGTATCCCTTGTTATTGTCCGTTGTTCAGATACTCAACATTTGCTCAACATATTCCACACAGACATCGCCTTAAGTTTATATAATCAAGAATCGGAGATCCATTCGCAGTTAGTTGGCGGAGCAAAAGTTTCGTCGATGTATACCTGCTATAACTTCCATTGCATATCGAGCAGTTGCCTCAGTTATCTGCAGCAGTATCTTATGTATCCCACAGCTGGTATACTTCAACAGGCGGAGGCGGTCGACTGCAGCGGTATCTGATGTATCTGATATATCGGTATCTGTATCTCGCAGGTATTCTGCAGCAGGCGGAGGCGGTCGCGTGCAGCGGTATCTGATGTAGGTATCGATATCTGTACCCCGCAGGTATTCTGCAGCAGGCTGAGGCGGGGGACTGCAGCAGTATCTGATATTGTATCTGTATCTGTATCCGCAGGTATTTTGCAGCAGGCGGAGGCGGTGGACTGCAGCAGTATCTGCAGTTTCTGTTCGCGTATGAAGCGCGGCAGGCTGTACGCGGCCGCCCGACGCCAGGGCTACAACGTGCTGGCGTTCGGACAGCACCTGGACGACATCTCCGAGAGCTTCCTCATGTCCGTGTTCCACAACGGCCGGCTGCGGACCATGAAGGCCTGCTACACAGTCACGTGAGTGCCTGACGGGTGGGGGGTACACACGGGGGGCACGGCACACAGGCGAGGGACACACATGTGAAGTGTCACGCACGACACAATGAAAAGGGTGAGAGGCACTGCGAGCTCGGCTGAGGTGTCTGGAACGGAACTGTCAGGTCAAGTTCGGTTTGTTTTCATGAGGGAATAAGATTTAGATTTGCCCTCAGTTTTGGGTTTTACTGCATGTGGAATGTAAGAGCGTTGGTCGCTTTGCACGTAAATGTTTTAGTATTCACGAATTTATCTCTGGTTTTATTTGTTTGTTTTATTTTTTCTTAGTTCTTACATTTCATTTCTAGAAAGAAAAAAAAACGGGAAGAAACGTTTGTTATTCCTTACCTATCGTGCATGCATTTTAAACAACCCGTTCCCTGTGACTGAGCTGTCCTGATGCTGTGCTGGACTGGTTTCCCGTGTCTATTCTGGTATGACCCTGCGCTTCTGCCTCTGGTCTGGCGCAACGCCCCCGTGTCTCCCTGTGGTCCGTGTTGCTACCGCTGGTTTGACCGGACTCTCCCGTGTCTGTACTGATCCCACCCGGCGCTCCCATGTCTGTACTGATCCCACACGGCGCTCCCGTGTCTGTAGTGATCTGACCTGGCGCTCCCGTGTCTGTACTGATCTGACCCGGCGCTCCCGTGTAGTGATCCCACCCGGCGCTCCCGTGTCTGTACTGATCCCACCCGGCGCTCCCGTGTCTGTACTGATCCCACCCGGCGCTCCCGTGTCTGTCTGTACTGATCCCACCCGGCGCTCCCGTGTCTGTACTGATCCCACCCGGCGCTCCCGTGTCTGTACTGATCCCACCCGGCGCTCCCGTGTCTGTACTGATCCCACCCGGCGCTCCCGTGTCTGTACTGATCCTCCCCTCCCTGCCGGCAGTGAGGAGGACCTGCGGGTGGTCCGGCCGCTCATCTATGTCCGCGAAAAGGAGCTCCGCCAGTTTGCCGAGTCGCGGCGGCTGCCCATCATCCCCGAAAACTGTCCCGCCTGCTTCGAGGAGCCCAAGGTTGGTCAGTTGCCTGGCACGGCGCCGAAACGGTACCGCCGGGACGGGCTAGATGGAGAAGGGACGTCTTGGTGCGTCACTTTCATACCGTGCAGGTGACTTCCTCGTGCTTAATACGCCATTTGAACTGCGCCGATCTATGTTATCGGAATATGGTGCAATAGCGGCGTCTATCAGGGCCATCGTAGATTTACGAGTCACGAGTTATGTTGTGCCTATCTGGCAGTAGCTTCCCGGTCGTTCCCCAACACTCGCGGCTGCTGTTCTGACTGACCGTTGACCCCACGATCGTTGCCCACACCATCAGCTGACTCCACTCTCGACAGGCGGCTGACCTCGCTCCCTCTGACTGTCCTTCCCCCATCCCCATCCCCGCTATCTTCTGATTGCGCCCCACAGCAGCTGTCGTTTGACCCTCCCTCCCGCTCCCCGTCCCCCAGGAGCGGCACCGCGTGAAGCAGCTGCTGGCCCAGCAGGATGTGCTGTTCCCCCACTGACCCCCTGCGCCCGTGTCCGTCCCCAGGAGCGGCACCGCGTGAAGCAGCTGCTGGCCCAGCAGGAGGTGCTGTTCCCGCGCCTGTTCGAGTCGCTCCGCTCTGCCCTGCGGCCGCTGTACGCCATCCCGCGCACCGGACTAGAGAGCCGGCTGTTCGGCAGGGCCGTGGCTGACGAGGAGGATGAGGATAGCGACGGGGCCGACTGCGGCACCGACGGCGGGGCGGTGGTCAATGACGGCGGGGCAGCAACGGTCAATGACAGCGGGGCGGTGGTCAATGACAGCGGGGCAGCGGTCGGTGACAGCGGGGCGGGGGTCAATGACGGCGGGGCAGTGGTTAATGACGGCGGGGCGGTGGTTAATGACAGCGGGGCGGGGGTCAATGACAGCGGGGCGGGTGTCGGCGACTACGGGGCGGTGGTCGCCGCGGAAGAGTGACGAGTGCCGCGCGGTGTGCGGAGGTCGGGGCTGTGGAGGGGCCGGCTGGTATCTGCACGGGCTCAGTCAGTGAGTGGATCATCAGACAGCGGCCTTACCTCCCAGTAGCCGATACCATATCAATCAGTGGGGCAGCCAGCCGCAGTAATGGCCTCCCCAGCTGAGGGTGGCGTCTCAAAGCGCAGCGTGTGGGCTGCCTGATACCGCCCTGAAGCCGGGGTCACAGTCGCAATATCTAGCACTACTGTCCGGCCGGTGTTCTGACAGGGTCAGTGGGAGCCTGAGGGGGTGCGGGCGGGCTGTACGCGGGTCACAGTGGGTGTCTCTGTCCCGGACTAATCGAACGTGGATCAGATGCAACGGGCAGCGTACCGCGGCCGAGAGGACTAGGCCGTGACTAAAGAGGGGGTGGAGAGGGAGGCGTCCCCCGGGACAGAGCGCGGCGCCGTTCGGCGGGGGAGGGGTCACCGGGACACGGGAGGGAGGGTGACGGGGAGTCGTTACACGGGAGGGTCGTTTTAGCTGACGTGCTGTGGTTTGCGGGCGACAGGGGGTTGTCAATGACTGAACAGGGTCGGGGCGCGAGGGGATCTGTTGTTGTCGAATGGCTGCCCGCCGTGTTGACTTGTCTTTGATGTATGACGTGATGACATTGTTATGTGTTGGTGTGTTGAAGGTGCTACGACTGCGATATGCGCATCACACGACGTGTGCTGTTGTGCGGTGTGACTGTTGTTCGTTTGGTGCCGGTCAAAGTCGACAGAGGCCGCCCCGCCGATAGTGTCACGTGCCCGGGGTATGAGTCATTTCCTGATCAGGTGCAGCCGAGCCCCGGTCAGCCGATGCGTCAGAAAGTGTCAGTAGACATGCTGCTGATTAGTTTTTTTCCGATTTGCGTGCCGGGAATGTGAATCAGGGTACAACATGTGGTGTTTCCGGAAATGGGCCGCATCCTCCCCCTCTGGACATCCCGAGCTTACTCCACCGCCCCGCGGCCGGGTAAAGCCGCCGGCCGCCAGGCCCGAACCGCTCCGGGCGGGCCGGCCGGGCGGACGCAGCCCATGGGCCGCTGAGCGGTGGTGGCGCACTGTGGACTCGGGGCCGGGTGTCAGCTGCTGGCGGACTGACGTGGCGCCGGGAGAGAACGGAGAACGCAGCCGAGTTAGTGACTGACCACCCCGCTGAGTCAGTGACGTGGCGTCTTACTCCGGCGTGTCACTGATGTCAGGTCACCCCTTGCCATGTCAGTGACGTGACGTCATCACTCCGTCATGTTAGTGACGTGACGTCGTCATCCCTTGCCGAGTCGGTGTCAGTGTGTCAGCGCCGTCAGTGTGCGACAAATACAGTCTGTCGGCGCTGCTCTGTCGGCAGAAATGTCCTGTGAGCTGACGAGTCGATGGGGGATGGAACTGTGACGTACCGGTCAGTGATTGCTGCGACCCGGCAGAGAACCGAGAGGGGCAGCGGAGCTCGGCGCAGAGCTCAGGGCGACTTCCCGGGCTGCTTGGTATAATAGAGAAACTTGATAAAGTCCCTCATGGGCGGGGGCTATGCCCGGGTGATTTCGTCAAGCGTGGCGCTATGACCCATTCTCGTATGGAGTCTGGCGCCGAGACAGGCGCTGATCGCACGCATGAGACGGCTTACGAGTATGAGCAGAGAGACGTTAACGTATACATTTCACTAGTATACGACCACGCCTCACAAATAACACCAATGCCACACACATGTACAGGCGCACATACATACACCACACCCATAAGCGACACGACACCCAGCTAGGAGCCCGGCAGTGCCGGTACAGTTCACACTGACACAGCGTGATCCACCAACGGCGCTTTGTCCGCCCGCACGTCCATCTCGAGTCAATCGTCAGTTTGTACAGCGTTTGTCGCCACGCTACTACGCGGGGGGTGGAGTAGGCCGGAACCGCACACGGGAGTGCTTCCCATTCCGTGTGCGAGGCCGGCTGTCGCACCGTGCGGGCACGTCTTGGTAAAGCGCGGCGCAAGACTGAGCTTCGGTCTGCTCTTTGCTGCTGAGTCAATCCGCAAGGTGGCGTACGTCAGCCGCTCGTCTGCTGTGGTGCCGGTGCAGAGCTGCCTCTGGACTGAAGGTGGAGCGGGACGATCCGTACCACACTAGCCAGATGCCGATGCCCCAGTATCGCTCCGTCCGATGGTATGGTCCAGCGCCTCCTCTCGTGTCTGGTGGACCGCAGGACCGTCAGACAGCAGGCTCAGCCGTCTCTCCCCTGAATGATGACGCAGACCGCAGTGATGGCCCTCCGTGCACAGCCGATGATGCGGGGGCAGTCGAACACTGTCCCCTCGGAGGACGTGAAGGCCTTGGTGCTCTCTTCACTCTCCTCCGCCTGGTCACTTATGATATATTTGCGCGTATACTGTATCCCTGAAACAACATTTTTCATGTCAACTCAATTTGGCCGACCGTTCTTTTCCTATGTCCATAAAGTTAGCGTCGTATTCGTATTCGGATTCAAATCCTGGCTCATGAAAATATATGTTTAGGTATATTATGTTTTCCCCTCATTACATTTGCGGACTCGCCGCCACTCGCTGCGTGAACTTTGAGCCAATTTAGAAGGGAGGGGGTCCCAGGAGTCAGACGAGCGTGGATCTAGGTACTGATGCAACTACAGAAGTATGGGAGATAAAGTCCAGTTGGAGATGGAGTTAATGTCAGCTTTTGAAAACCGGATGGCACATTATTCAATCGAGGCGTCAAGCTCCTACAGATGGCTGTAACGCTATTGTTCAGAAATATAAATTACCTAGTAATATCGCCCACACCCCTGTTCACCCCGCTCACTTTCGAGTCCTGATGAAGCAGCACCCGGCCACTATGGAGGCGATGAGCAGTGCCGTCAGGCCGATGGTGGTGCCGCCGATCAGCCAGCCTTCTGTGGTCAGCAGCTGCCGCGCCGCCGACAGACAGCCCGTGCTGAAGAACGAGTCGGCGCCTTCCGGCTGCTCCTCGCACGCCATCACCGTGCCGTTGGCGAAGCGGCGGCAGCAGCTCCACGGAACGGCCGCCGGCAGCGAGCCGTTGCGCCGCCAGTCGTCGCCGTCGCTGACACCGCAGCAGTGGAAGCCGCTCTGCAGCAGGTCCCAGCCGTTGGTGACGGCGCCGTCCTCGCCGTACTCGGCCATGGAGCGGAACAGCGCCGTCTCCAGCTGGTCCGAGGCCGGCCCGGTCATGACCATGGCCGTGACGGCGGCCAGCAGAGTGACGACCAGCAGCAGGCCGGAGAGCACGCAGAAGGCGATGGTGAGGCCGCGGTGGCGCAGCGCCGCGCCCATGCCGCCCAGCGTCGCCAGCAGCATGAGCAGCAGGCCGGCGGTGACCAGCAGCCAGGCGGCGCCGCGCGCCAGCAGCACGCCGGCCAGCACGGCGGCGCGCGAGCCGTCAGAGACCAGCGCGTCGGCGCCGACCACCAGCAGCAGCAGGCCGCCGGCGAACACCAGCACGGCCTCGGCCAGCAGCGCGCCGCGCAGCGCGCTCGAGCAGCCCATCGCGGCGGCGGACACGGCACGCGCACGCACTCACGCACTCACACTTCACACACCTTCACACAATCCTTCACACACTTGACCTAGAGGAACGTTAGTGAGCGGTTACCCTCGGGTAACCTCTCCTTTCTCCACTGGTAAACGGTATTGACGCTGCGCCACACTGTCACAGGCGGTAAAACGAGGCCGCTGGCGGCCGGCTGGGCGAGCTCTCTTACCGTGGACTGCTCACTATCAGGACGATATCTACATGACACATATGCGATAAGGCAGAGGCGTACGCAGCGCAGCACTCTGGGCTCTGCCACTGGGTGGGAGGGGGGGGGGGGGTCGCGGGTCCGGGCTCCTCAAATAATTTCATTTCCGTACTGCAGCTACATGTTCAAAGACATACGGAACTGGAACCGGGCCCTGGTCCCTTCTATTCCCTTCCCCCACTCAAATCCTGAAACTGGCGGAGTCCCACCCAGTAAACATGCCGACGTCGGCAAACATCGTGGTGACGCGGCCGGTCCTCTCACTGACTTCGCCTGGCTACGGCCCGCCACCAACCGCAACCATGCCTGTCAGGAGGACGCCCATAAACGTCAAGTGCCCGTCGCGCAAGGCCCGTCGCGCTTCGAACCCGGACTGTTGTAACCGGGAACCAGTAGCGGCGGAACATTTTCAATTAAGGGGGGGGGCGCTGCCCTAGGAAAAAAACCATCAGGATTTTTCTGATGGTCTGATGGTTTCTGATGGATTTGGCTGATGGTCTGATGGTTTCTGATGGTTCTAGCTGATGGTCTGATGGTTTCTGATGGTCTTGCTTGGTGGTCTGATGGTTTCTGATGGTCTTGTGTGATGGTCTGATGGTTCTGTGTGATGGTCTGATGGTTCTGTGTGATGGTCTGATGGTTCTGTGTAATGGTCTGATGGTGTTGTGTGATGGTCTGATGGTTTTTTGTGATGGTCTGATGGTTTCTAATGGTATAGCCTAATGGTCTGATGGTCACCCTGCTGACCATCAGACCATCAGAAGATGCATGCGCTGATGGTCTGGTGGTTTCTGACGGAAAGTCTGATGGTTTGATGGTTCAATAGTTTAGGCCTTATATCAGAAAAAGATTTCATCAGAAAGCCTTATAGCGCTTCGGGGCCGACATCGCGAGTGCTGAGCTCTAAATAGCTAAATTTCTTTCAATTATTTCTCGTGGTCCCCAACAAACACTTTAAACCAACTTTAAACAGCTACCGGAAATGGAAATTCCTCTAGCAAACAGCGTTGCCAGTTCTCAGAAATAAATTTATTCTAAATGCATGACGATGAAAAACGACACACTAAAATAATGACTTATAATAAATAAAAATTAATTTTGTTTTAAAAAGAAGGGAATAGGAAATATAACTCGCCTTTATCATGCATAATTTCTCGTACTTTCATGACCAATGAAGTTATTTAATTGCCAAAATCGGTTAGAAGCTTTCTCTGATAGAAAATAATATTCTTAAATCATTAAGAAGTGATACTTGTAAAAATTATTGGGATATTTGTTCTTTTAAAAAGCGATGAAAACAAACATATTTTCAAAAATGCCGGCGCTGCGTGAAACGCTGCGTTGTTGTTGGCGCTTCATTGCGGTTGAGATGAACTAATACGGCCTTGGTTGAGATGTACGCCTATGTATTAGCCCTAGGAAAAAAACCATCAGGATTTTTCTGATGGTCTGATGGTTTCTAATGGATTTGGCTGATGGTCTGATGGTTTCTGATGGTTCTAGCTGATGGTCTGATGGTTTCTGATGGTCTTGCTTGGTGATCTGATGGTTTCTGATGGTCTTGTGTGATGGTCTGATGGTTCTGTGTGATGGTCTGATGGTTCTGTGTGATGGTCTGATGGTTCTGTGTAATGGTCTGATGGTGTTGTGTGATGGTCTGATGGTTTTTTGTGATGGTCTGATGGTTTCTAATGGTGTAGCGTAATGGTCTGATGGTCACCCTGCTGACCATCAGACCATCAGAAGATGCATGCGCTGATGGTCTGGTGGTTTCTGACGGAAAGTCTGATGGTTTGATGGTTCAATAGTTTAGGCCTTATATCAGAAAAATATTTCATCAGCAAGCCTTATAGCGCTTCGGGGCCGACATCGCGAGTGCTGAGCTCTAAATAGCCAAATTTCTTTCAATTATTTCTCGTGGTCCCCAACAAACACTTTAAACAGCTACCGGAAATTCCTCTAGCGAACAGCGTTGCCAGTTCTCAGAAATAAATTTATTCTAAATGCATGACGATGAAAAACGACACACTAAAATAATGACTTATAATTAATAAAAATTTATTTTGTTTTAAAAAGAAGGGAATAGGAAATATAACTTGCCTTTCTCATGCATAATTTCTCGTACTTTCATGACCAATGAGGTTATTTAATTGCCAAAATCGGTTAGAAGCTTTCTCTGATAGAAAATAATATTCTTAAATCATTAAGAAGTGATACTTGTAAAAATTATTAGGATATTTGTGCTTTTAAAAAGCGATGAAAACAAACATATTTTCAAAAATGCCGGCGCTGCGTGAAACGCTGCGTTGTTGTTGGCGCTTCATTGCGGTTGAGATCTGTACGCCTATGTAGGTACATTTCCTGAAGGATGGTGTGAAACGTGTGGTGCATAGCAGTGACATCAAGGACTTTTTCCCCAAAAATGTGCAAGATTTCGACCCAAGTCTGCCCGTGAAGGTCCTTGGAGAGGTTTCCGTGATGATCCTGGTGATAAAATCGCACCTTTTATCACCAGGATCACCACGGGCTCAGAAAGTGATTGAAAGGGAGCGCCTCCAGGATCAACAGGAACCACAGAACACCGCCAAGGAGCGCAGTGACTATCAGAATTCCTGAAACAGTCGCGCCATCAATTGATGGCGCGACTGTTTCAGAACCGTCAGACCATCAGGAACCATCAGACCATCACAAACCATCAGACCATCACAAACCACCAGACCCCTGAACCATCAGAAACCATCAGACCATCAGACCATCAGACCAGTGGGCCAATTTCCATGCACCATCAGACCATCAGAAAAATCCTGATGGTTTTTTTCCTAGGGATTTCCTGAAGGATGGCGTGAAACGTGTGGTGCATAGCAGTGACATCAAGGACTTTTTCCCCAAAAATGTGCAAGATTTCGACCCAAGTCTGCCCGTGAAGGTCCTCTGGAGAGGTTTCCGCGATGAGATTCCGACATTGTCTGCGGAGAGATAGGTACAAGGGGCTGATCCTGAAATTAGGAGGTGAGGCAAAATAAAACGAAATCGGTAAAATTTTGGGGGGATAAATTATTTGTCAATTGGTGGTGGTATAAATATATTGGTGTTCATAACCGTACCTTTTATCACCAGGATCACCACGGGCTCAGAAAGTGATTGAAAGGGAGCGCCTCCAGGATCAACAGGAACCACAGAACACCGCCAAGGAGCACAGATTCCTGAAACAGTCGCGCCATCAATTGATGGCGCGACTGTTTCAGAACCGTCAGACCATCAGAAACCATCAGACCATCACAAACCATCAGACCATCACAAACCACCAGACCCCTGAACCATCAGAAACCATCAGACCATCAGAAACCATCAGACCATCAGACCAGTGGGCCAATTTCCATGCACCATCAGACCATCAGAAAAATCCTGATGGTTTTTTTCCTAGGGTGCCGACTTTTGGTCCCATTCTTTCCATGCAACGCCCATAGGGCTAATGTTAAAATGCCAAAATCAAAGGGGTGCACGGTGCCCGGTGCCCTCCCCGTTCCGCCGCCTATGCCGGAAACGCGTGCTCTCACCACACGGAGTCCGGCGCTCTACCCACTGAGCTACGGGACCGGCTTGAATATGTAGCCTTGTTCCACAGCTCTAAGGCTATTGTTCGATATTCTGCACAGAAACCAGCCAAATTCGCTTGAGCGTAAACTACTACGCATTTCAGACCCTCTGGAACAGTCCTTTTTGGCCCTTTCTCGTTACCTATACGCTTGATTTCAACCAAACTTTGACACAATGTGTTTCAAGGGCCTACCTAATTTTTACTAATATGGTCTTTTAACAAAATGTCAAAATGAAAGGCACTTGTCGTTGACTTGTAATGGTAAAAATTGATCGGAAAACTCTGCACCGTGGTAGAGGCTAGCATGGCGTTGCAGCGTCAGCTGTTGCGCCGCAGCTAAGCTCCGCCCACTGTGCCGCGACACCGGGACCGGTCATTCGCCGCTCGGGGTCAGAGCGGTGCGGAGCTCTGACGGACTGGAACGAGACACACGCTAACGCAGGCATCATTGCGTGAATATTGTAAATGTCGTATCTCGCGCGAAGAGAATAAGGATGAAGAATTCAATGCAGATCGCGACGGTGTATGTATAAAACAATAAACACTCCTAGCTACAGAATGTTATTCCCTATGCAGACTTAAAATAATCTTATTTTCAATAATTTATAGCGAGCCTCTCCGCAGCCGTTTTCCTACAGGCTATTGTGCATTTAAGGAGTAACGGGACATAATTCACCGGACTGTCTTTGCATTCAACGGCCTTATTTAATTGAAGATATCCACAAAGATACTTGTAGGTATTTCGTTTTTTTTTAAAGAATATTTTTTTTTTGGGGGGGGGGGGGGTGAAAATAATAGGTAAATCTTTCTATGACATTTCCACAATGCTTTCAGAATGTTGTTGATAGATCTTAGGCCCGAAAAACAATAAAACAGGGAAAAATATATGATGACTCAATCTGAAAATGTAGATATGCAATATCGAGAGTTCATGATCTCCCGTCCTTCACTCCCCCTTGTCAGTCTCTCGTCTATACGTTTATAGTATATTGTCTCTCGTCTATAGCCTAGGTAATCTCTATCTTCGTCACTTGTCTCTGGTCTATCGTCTTCGTCTCCTGTCTCTGCTCTAGCGGCTATATGCATATTGTTTGTTGTCCACTAGCCAACGTTTACCGTTCGTCTCATTGTCACTTTGTCTCCTTTTCCTTTCTCTTTCTTCCACCGTCCTTATTTGTCGTAGAACAACTTATTAAAAGTTCATGACATGCAAACAAGTGCTCCACTCCGCTGCGCTGCGCGCGCGGCCCGCACGCCGGCCGGCCGGACTGCGACTGCCGCCGACATGACCCGAGGCTGGACCGCAAGTGGGCGGAGCCAAGCCGCAGTGTGCTAGTGCGTCTCGACCAATCAGAGGGGAGACAGCGTCCAGCCTGTGTCAGCCTCTAAGCAGGGCTCTGACGACCTTAACATTATCAGTCAATGACAAGTGCCTTTATTTGTCATTTTTCGTTAATAGACCATATTGATAAAAATCAGGTAGGGATCTCAAACTACCAATGCCAAAGTTTGGTTAAAATCAAACGCATATACAACGAGAAATAGCCGAAAAGGACTGTTCCACAGGGTCTGAAACGCATAGTAGGTTTTAAAAAATACCATTCTGCAGTATTTTAGTAGTTTATAGCAGCAGTTTAAGAAACAAAACACGCACTATTTCGTGGGTCACCCGTTCTTCTATTCCGGAATATTGTAACATTTTTCAAATACGAATGAACGAAGAAGCCATCGAGCTAACTTAATAAATTAGTATATGTTGAAATAACTGTAAAATCCCGCATAAACATACAGTGACGGTATTTTACATTGTACGTCACTGAACTGAAATAGCATTCAATTTTGTGTTAACGTGAGCCATCTACTGCTCGATATGACTTCTGCACCAATCACAAGGAGGTTTGTCTACACCCTCTAATTCCATTGGATGATGGTTGCCTTCGCAGTTCTCACCCAAACTGAAGAGTGCAGGAACGACGTGTCAGAGACAAAACTGACGCAACTTCATTGCTTATGCTATTTTGCAATCCCTTTTCATTATGGAAGCCAGCCCAGTTGACAGTTGTGAGCCGGGGATGAGGAGGGAGACGGTGTGACACGGGTGACAATAGGGATAAGTGTTGCTGCTGCTGGAGTGAATTATCAGCCTATCCATTTGGTTCTTTTTTGGTGGGCACATAAGGTAAGATTTTGTCGACTTCATCCGAATCAAGAGCATGCTCATTTTTTGAAATTTTGTCTGAATGGGCGGCTAAATAACGACCAATATTGCACAGGTGCTTCGATACTTGATTGCGTCGTGAATTATCAGACACGAAATCAGGATGTCAACATACATCATCTGGTGTGCTTTTTATAATTGTTTTGGCATTCAGACCTGATGTAGGTATTACCGTAAACTTGGTGTCACATGGATGTAGGTACCAGACGCAGATCGTGGGTGATGGACGATATTCAATATTCCCTAGGCATTGCAAAAGCAGTGTTTGATATATCTCGGGCGACAAAGATTCTAAGTCGTCTGGGCGTGTGTTTCATGTCCCCAACGAAGGAGAGGCTCTACCCAGAGATGCTTCTTTCTAACCAAACCAAACCAAAACAAACCTAAACTAACCTGACCTAATCTAACCTACAACCTACAAACCTACAAACCTGGCTACAATGGTAGAAAATATTACAGGCAGCTGGCTGCTAGCCCATGACCTTTGTATCACGAGGCGGGCGGCTTAATCACTTGAACACACAGACCAGCTGATTGCAGCAAGGTGTAAGCCATTTTTGAATGACACAATGTAGATTTCTCTGGTTAGTGCCTCTCCTTGGTTGGATGAACAAAATAGGTAGGCGCTCTGATGACGTAGAATCTTTGTCGTTCTGGAGATGCCAAACGCTGTCTTTGCATTTGGTTGGTAATTTTGGCTGTTGGCATACCCAGCATTGGTACAAAACACAATTTTAGTGAACATATTCAAAAAGTTTAAATGTATATTTTGTTGTTGGTCAAAAACTTCTTATTCCAAATCCAAGATAACCATTTTGTAGACCATTATAATTGGCACCTCTGGTGGTTTTCATGTGCAAATTTCTGTCAAAGATATGCCTTGTAGAGTTGATAAGTTATGTCAAGGCCCTATATAGGTACCACTTTTGTCTTTTTTTTTTTTGGCCAAAGCTGGCTGTAATGATGTCTCAAAATCAATCATTACTCTTTTTTCAAACAAATTCCAACGGATTATGGAAAATTGATGGAGGAGAAGCTGCAGCTGCAGGCAGGTTATGGATAGTAACTGCAGGCTGTCTAAAAAATTGACAAACATTATTCATTTGCAAATTTCAGGGTGATCACATGAAAAGTTTTTGTGTTATTGTGAGAAGTTTGCAGGAGAAGGCAGGGGGCATGTTAGCAGGGGATCATGCTGGCTTTTGTCCGAAAGTTGTGCTGCCTCTTGTGCTGCCTGCTCTTTACAGAAATGTCATTTGTGTTTGACTTTTCACACAGCATTGCTGACATTTATGTGAATCTGTTTGAAGTGAGTTATGTTTGGCTGTTTGAGATTTATTATTGTAATTCCATTTGGGATCTTCACAAGACTTCAAATAATAAAATAATCTTAAGAGTGGCATCCATGCGCGTGCCTCGGTATTGGGTGGTGGCGCTGTCTGTGCGCGGTGGTGGCGCTGTCTGTGCGCGGCCTGGCGGCGGCGCCCTGAGCCGGACTGTCTCTGCCGCAGGCGCCGCCGCCATGGCTACGCGCAGTCTCACCGACGTCTTCCTGCTGATGCGCAACAACGCGCAGCAGACGCGGCACATGTACTCGACGCACGGCACGTCGGACTCGGACGCGCTGGTGGGCCACGAGCCGGACCTGGAGGCCGGCGCGCCGCCGCCGCCCTGGCTGGCCACCATGCAGCAGGTGCAGTTCGGTGTGCGAGACGTGCACGAGCGGCTCCAGGAGCTGGACGCGCTGCGGCAGCGCCACCTGACGCGGCCCACGCTCGACGACAGCTCGGCGGACGAGCAGCGCATCGAGGCGCTCCAGCACGACATCACGGACGCGCTGTCGCGCGCGCAGCGCAGCCTGCAGCTGGTGCAGCGGGCCGGCCGCTCGTCGCCGCCGGCGGAGGCGCGCCTCAACCGGCAGGTGGTGCTGGCGCTGGCCACGCGGCTGCAGGAGCTGAGCGGCCAGTTCCGCTCGTCGCAGGGCGGCTACCTGCGCCAGCACCAGCAGCGCGAGCAGCGCGCCCAGGGCTACTTTGACGCCATGGTGCTGGAGGAGGCGGCGGTGGGCGCTGACTCGGCCGAGGACCGGGCGTTCATGCAGGGCGGCGCGCCGCTCAGCGAACAGGAACTGCTGCAGCTGGAGGAGGAGACGGCCGCGCTCCAGCAGCGCGACACAGAGGTCCAGGAGCTGGTGCGCTCCATCGCCGAGCTCAACACCATCTTCCGCGACCTGGCGCAGATGGTGGCCGACCAGGGCCAGGTGGTGGACCGCATCGACGTCAACGTGGAGAGCACCCAGGTGCGCGTGTCGCAGGGCCTGCGTCAGCTGCAGAAGGCCGACCAGTACCAGCGCCGCGGCCGCAAGATGACCTGCATCTTCGGCATGGCCGGCCTGATCGTGCTCCTGCTCATCATCCTCATCTCGGTCAAGTCGTAGGGATCGTCGGGAGCTGCGTGCCGATGGATGACTGACTGAGGAGCTAGTGTACGGGTGTGGACCGGCCGCAGAGATATCTCGGCGCCTCGTGTAGTATCGGAGCCTCCGTGTCGGTACCCGCAGCTGATCCTCCCTGCCTGTCACTGTCCTGTGACTACCTGTCCCGTCTGTGACCAGCTTATGCATTGGATGGTGATCGGTGGCTCGCAGAAGGATCCGTTTACTTCTGGCTTGTGCAACGACTACCGACCAAGATAAGGAATAGACGTGGGAACGTAATGTTGCTGGGTGTTGTGATTCGTCATATGTGTTCCCATTGTTGTGGAGGCTTATGTATCTGTATGTATCCTGCTGGAAATGTTTTGACCGTCAGCCGAGCCTGCCATGTTCGTTGTGTCCCGAATATCATCCCGCTTTTGTGGCGTAACAAACGTAACATTTTTGCGAATGACATTCAGTGGGCATTTTTTTCCATCTCGTTGGAAGCTTTGATGAGGATTTTTTAGAGCATAATGAGATAATTAATGTTTTGTGAGCACAAAACATACCGAGTCGCGCGTGTTCAATATCATAATTAGATAGATTGTCCGGTGCTGTTATTCTTACCCTAACTGTTGGTATCCAATGGAGTTCAGTGTCATCTTTTCATTCATATCACTTCGCTTATTTCCTAGGCTCCTTTTTTCGCGGCCTTCTCGATATTTAACCTTCTCCGGTTTATGATATAACTATGCCTGTTTACCAGCTACTTCAAAGACCCGACTGTTGTGCTTCTGTGACTGTACGTATGTCTGCTGGGCTGGACCAACCACCGACTATGGGAAACTGTGGCGCTGCTGTACATTTCCTTGTGCTCTGTGTATTATTAACTTGTTGTGACCGAAATACATATTGCACTTCAAATGGTGTTGTTTTGACGGACGTTTGATGTGACCAGCTATATCGATGTTGTGGGCGCATCATTTTTATACGTCTATATCTGTGGCTTCAAACTTTTGAAAGCAGACGATAAGAACTGATAATGCGAGCGACACCCACCTCAAGGTGTATTATAGGGATCCTGATATTAGTGAGTGGTGAGTACAATGTGCCCAGCAGTCACTAAGGCATACCACGTTTTGATGAGAGATAATTCTTTGGCGATCTGATGCTGCTTATCAAAGCTATTATACGACGCCTCGAATCTATCTCAACGTCGGCCTGTGATGGTCGCGATAGCAGTGAGGGTCTGCTCTGATGGAAGACGGTCCCATGCCACGTCAGCTGGGTATACCCGTCATGGCGAGGAACGACTTGCGCGGTGCTTAGTGCATATAATTTGCAGTTGAACGATTCTGTAAATCTAGGAAGTATCATTAGAATATATGACCTTCTCCTCGGAAAATGACCAAATGAATGAAAATGATTATTTATTGATGAATTGATGATATTTCGGTACTCGCTACTTTTGCTTTGTACGATTTAAGGAATTTGATTTAGACTAAGGTCTGTGACCGAAATATCATCAATTCATCAATAAATAATCATTTTCATTCATTTGGTCATTTTCCGAGGAGAAGGTCATATATTCTAATGATACTTCCTACATTTATCATGCTCCTCGCAGCAGCTCTCAACGATTCTGTAAATCAGCCAATAAATGCTCCATATTGAAATACATAGGAGGTGGCGGTAAATGAGCGACTTGTACTTGGAGTACTTGGAGTACGATGGTAAAGTATGACAACGAACCTCCTGGAGCAAGTCATTGCGCGCCGGGCTCCGTAATGCCTGATATGTTTGCAGTGCGTTGTGTCACAGATCACTGCATAGATGATTGCTACAATACCTGTACTAGCTATGGCTGTATGTCTCGCCCAGCGCACGGCTGTCATCAGTTCCAGGCTCTGCCGCACATCCTGTTCCAGCCACCATACGCTTCCCGCCGTCCCCTCCCCACTGCGGACATACGACGCTGAACACCTGACCTCTGATCGCTCTGACCTCCCGCAGCAGCTGAGCGGTCCCGATGGCGAGCTACCCAGTGTACTCCGCCGTACAGCTGACCTCCCCTGACCTCCCGCGGCAGCTGAGCGGTCCCGATGGCGAGCTACCCAGTGTACTCCGCCGTACAGCTGACCTCCCCTGACCTCCCGCAGCAGCTGACACGGTCCTGATGGCGACCTACCCAGTGTACTCCGCCGTACAGCTGACCTCCCCTGACCTCCCGCAGCAGCTGAGCGGTCCCGATGGCGACCTACCAGGAGTTCATTCAGCAGCAGGAGGAGCGGGACGGCGTGCGTCTCACGTGGAACGTGTGGCCCAGCAGCCGACTGGAGGCCACCCGGCTGGTAGTGCCCGTCGCCGCGCTCTACACGCCGCTCAAGGAGAGGCCCGGTGAGTGGGGACGGGCGATAGCCTCTACACACCGCTTAAAGAGAGGCCTGATCACTCAGTACTCTAAAGTCAGCCGGGGGCGATAGCCTCTACACACCGCTCAAAGAGAGACCCGGTGAGTCAGCCGGGGCGGGGCAGTAGCCTCTACCCACCCCTCAAGGAGAGGCTCGCCGAGCCGGCGAGTCGGCTGGGTGTTAGTCACCCCGTCAGTTAGCTTAACCACACCTCACCTAATCACAGACGGTCTGGTATGACCTGCTATTGCCTGTGGCCGACAACCATTTCATGTACGATTAGGTCGCGATGGACGATTAGATGTGCTGTCGTGACTCTTCCGTTGTGTTAGCAGACCTACAGGTCTAGTATGATCTTACGAGCTATTTTGTGAAACGTCTGTTGTTGTGCCATGTGTGTTCGGACATATTCCGTGTGTCATGTATCTGTATGCCGTATTGTGTGTACCTTGTGGATTATGCCGTCTTTTGTTATATTTACAGACTTGCAGCCGGTATGACCCTATGGTGTGTATGACGCGCTGTGTATGTGTGTGACACTTTCTGTTGTATTGACAGACCTACAGCCGGTCCAGTATGACCCGGTGGAGTGTATGACGTGCTGTGTATGTGTATGACGCTCTCTGTTGTATTTGCAGACCTCCAGCCGGTCCAGTATGACCCGGTGGTGTGCACGCGGCCCCAGTGTCGCGCCATCCTCAACCCGTGCTGCCAGGTCGACTACCGCGCCAAAATCTGGGTCTGCAACTTCTGCTTCCAGCGCAACCAGGTGAGACGCTCGCCGTGTTGGCACGGATCAAAGACCATCCAGTCTCCAACTCGTGCTGTGAAGATTGACCAGGTATTGTGGAAATACTGATGTTTATGCTCTTGACCTTTGTGTGTATGAAGTGTCTCAAAATGCCGAAAGCGTCATTTCTTTGCCACGCAAATGGAAACATTTCCTGGCATTATTTCTTGCGACTATGTTACCTACAAATAGCATACCCGGTTCATTATTTGTAGGCGTGGTACGTTAGCGACTGCCTTGTGTAAGCTGTCGTCCTGTCGGTTTGTGCCTCAGCTGACTCTCGGGGAGGCCCAGTGCCCTGTGTGACCCTGTGACATTTAGACCCTCTATGCCGTCCCTGTGCTCTGCCCCGCTGCCCTGACCGACTGAGTGTCCTGTCGCGCTGGCGCGGTGCCCTGACGGGATGTGTGTGCCCGTGCTCCGGCGCAGTGCTGCTGCTCTGCCCCAGTGACCTGACCGGGTGTGTGCCCGTGTTCCGGCGCGGGCACACACATCCTCAGTGCTGCTCTGCCCCAGTGACCTGACCGGGTGTGTGCCCGTGTTCCGGCGCGGGCACACACATCCTCAGTGCTGCTCTGCCCCAGTGACCTGACCGGGTGTGTGCCCGTGCTCCGGCAGTTTCCGCCGCAGTACGCGTCCATCACGGAACAGCACCAGCCGGCAGAGCTGATCCAGCAGTTCTCCACCATCGAGTACACCATCACGGTACGTACCACGACACTGCACTGTGTACAGAGCTGATCCAGCAGTTCTCCACCATCGAGTACACCATCACGGTACGTACCACGACACCGCACAGTGTACAGAGCTGATCCAGCAGTTCTCCACCATCGAGTACACCATCACGGTACGTACCACGGCACCGCACAGTGTACAGCCGACACTGCACAGTGTACAGAGCTGATCCAGCAGTTCTCCACCATCGAGTACACCATCACGGTACGTACCACGGCACCGCACAGTGTACAGCCGACACTGCACAGTGTACAGAGCTGATCCAGCAGTTCTCCACTATCGAGTACACCATCACGGTACGTACCACGACACTGCACAGTGTACACTATACAGCCGACACTGCACAGTACACAGAGCTGATCCAGCAGTTCTCCACCATCGAGTACACCATCACGGTACGTACCATCATCACCATCATTGTACAGAGCTGATCCAGCAGTTCTCCACCATCGAGTACACCATCACGGTACGTACCACGGCACCGCACAGTGTACAGCCGACACTGCACAGTGTACAGAGCTGATCCAGCAGTTCTCCACCATCGAGTACACCATCACGGTACGTACCACGGCACCGCACAGTGTACAGCCGACACTGCACAGTGTACAGAGCTGATCCAGCAGTTCTCCACTATCGAGTACACCATCACGGTACGTACCACGACACTGCACAGTGTACACTATACAGCCGACACTGCACAGTACACAGAGCTGATCCAGCAGTTCTCCACTATCGAGTACACCATCACGGTACGTACCACGGCACCGCACAGTGTACAGCCGACACTGCACAGTGTACAGAGCTGTACGACACTGTACAGTACAGAGAACTGCTGGATCAGCTGGAAGAGCTGATCCAGCAGTTCTCCACCATCGAGTACACCATCACGGTACGTACCACGGCACCGCACAGTGTACAGCCGACACTGCACAGTGTACAGAGCTGATCCAGCAGTTCTCCACTATCGAGTACACCATCACGGTACGTACCACGACACTGCACAGTGTACACTATACAGCCGACACTGCACAGTACACAGAGCTGATCCAGCAGTTCTCCACCATCGAGTACACCATCACGGTACGTACCATCATCACCATCATTGTACAGAGCTGATCCAGCAGTTCTCCACCATCGAGTACACCATCACGGTACGTACCACACTGAACAGTGTACAGCCAACACCGCACAGTGTACAGCCGACACTGCACAGTGTACAGAGCTGATCCAGCAGTTCTCCACTATCGAGTACACCATCACGGTACGTACCACGGCACCGCACAGTGTACAGCCGACACTGCACAGTGTACAGAGCTGATCCAGCAGTTCTCCACCATCGAGTACACCATCACGGTACGTACCACGACACCGCACAGTGTTATACAGCCGACACTGCACAGTGTACAGAGCTGATCCAGCAGTTCTTTACTATCGAGTACACCATCACGGTATGATAAGACGGCCGCCGACACTGCATACTGAAGGGGACCGCTTGAGACGGATGCTGAAACTATTTATCTCCTCTTGCGGTACTATAGTCCACCTCATATTATCTGCAACTCTGCTGATGATTGACCTATGATCAGCTTTAACATGATTTTTGTATTCATAATTGAATTTTATTGCCTGTTTTGGTTGATGGCTTTATATGAGTGTCAAAGAGGAATATTCTTTGATGTTTTGCAATGTCGCAGAAGTTTAGCTACACCTTTCATTGTAGTTCTGCTTTCTCAAGTTATTTTGTACACTGATCATTACCTGACAAAATGGAATTATTTATTAAAAGTTGTTGCATTGCGATCTCCTCCCTCCAATACGGCGTGCCTGTGAGTCATGATAGCCCAGTGTTACTGTCCACTGCTGATGTCACGTGACTCATGTCCCCACCCGCAGCACGCCCAGTGTTACTGTCCGACTGCTGATGTCACGTGACCTTTGTCCCCACACGCAGCGCGCCTAGTGCATGCCGCTGGCGATGTCACGTGACTTCTGTCCCCACCCGCAGCGTGCCCAGTGCATGCCGCCCATCTTCCTGCTGGTGGTGGACACGTGTGTGGACGAGGACGAGCTCGGAGCCCTGAAGGAGTCGCTGCAGATGTCGCTCAGTCTGATGCCGCCCAACGCGCTGGTCGGACTCATCACCTTCGGCAAGATGGTGCAGGTGGGTAGCCGAGGAGACTGGGAGCTGGGAGGGAGGTGGGCTGAGGGACCCGAGAGGGCGGATCGTCACACCGCGTCAGTGCGAGGTGTGGAACTGGGGGAGGGACTCGGGCTTCATCGCCGTCGCTACGACAGCCGGGGGAGACGCTGGCAGTGGGGACAGACGTGTGCAGCAGGCTGATTCAGATGTATGGCATGGCGGAGTGAGGGCCTGAGGCGGTCAGTGGATCAGTAATTCTGAGTCAGGTGTGCGCTGGGCTGTGTCAGGTGTGCAGAGTTGGTCGCTCTCTGCCTCGTCTCGCCCCGTCTCACCCCGCCGCCCCGGCGCCACCAGGTGCACGAGCTCGGCTGCGACGGCTGCTCCAAGTCGTTCGTGTTCCGCGGCACCAAGGACATGACTGCGCGCCAGGTGCAGGACATGCTGGGCATCGGCCGCGGCGGCGGCCAGCAGCAGCCGCAGCCGCGCGCTCCGCAGCCGCCCGGCGCCCCCGGTCAGCAGCCCGGCCAGCCGGCCGGGCCGCAGCAGCTCAATAGGTTAGCCGGCAACCAGTGAGTGCGCGGCGCGGGCAGAGGTGGCGGTCACCGCGGCTTGTGTCTCCTGGCTCTACAACTCTCCTCCCCCCTGACACACCCGGCTCCGCGGCCGGTGTGACTCCCGGACAACGGAGCAATGAGTTTGTAATGAGCTAACAGGAAGAAGCCATCAATCATCAATCCCCCGTCACCCAGGGTTTAGTTTGTCATACTAAGATAAGTAGATAGGTGGGCGAATCTTTCACTAATTAGAATATAGGCTCCTTGAAACGTTTCGATGGGGGTAGATCTTACGTGACATTTTGAGAGCTTATATCGCAGCTTTGCGAATCGTTTTCTTTCTAAAAAGGGAAACACGTTTAATTGTTTTTTTTTCTCATCAGTATCCAGTAAGTATGTCATTTATTTTCCTTCTAATCGAAGAATATGATAGTCAATTATAAAGTAGACAGTTACACCTTTCAAGCATAATTTTAGGTCCCCCTCAATTATCCCCACGTAAGGTATGTTTATCACGCCAAAGGTCTCTAGTCAGCTGCCAGTTGACGTCTATGATTATCACTCTTTTACACTCAACCACCGTGCTGAAATTTCTCGCGTGTTCTGCCCAGGTATAGGTCATTCGGATCACGGTACGTGTTTTACCTTTGGTGCTTGGTGGTGGGCGGGCCTTCGTGCTATATTAACGCTAGCATGCTAACGGCGGCGGGACGGTTGTGGTGGCGGTGGTGGTTTTAACCAGGGCTATTTCGTGGTGCTGGAAAATTGACCAACTTGCTCCATAGGCTGATGCGACCTGTGTGGGACTCTTTTCTATTTTCTCTATGTCTCTTATTTCTCTTGTTCTCATGCTAGATCATTTGTATTTATTTTATGATATTTTGTGTCCATCATTACGTTTCCTTTTCAGCCCAAAACACATGCCGGAGCTCCATTTCAGTATGGAGCTACGGCGGCTCCCTGTGCAGTTTCCGGCCTTTGGAGTAATTCCAGAGAAAGGCCTGTGGCCCTGTATGGCTGTAACCCTGTGGTAATAGAGTCTGGTTTTGTGACTCATATTTCTGACGTCATGAACACACTAAGCGGTGACGGACCAATGCCACGCCTACTTTCTCTCTTCTTTGGGGCTTTGCATGCGGGTTTGTAAGATGATTGAATCCTGCCGATAATTGTGCAGAATTTACCTGGTGTGCTACTTAACGTAATTACTTGTTTACTTAGCGTGAAGTTACGCCTTTCAGCTTAACATAGCGATGTTTAGTTAAGAGTAAAGTTATTGATTACACCTCTTGTGCGCAGTCAAGCTATCATTTCATCATTTTCTTCGATAGTAAAATTTGTTCGAGTTTCTGGTCACGGCAGTAGCCTGTGCGCTGTCCGCCGCTCCCCGGCCCGCCGCTGACCGCCGCCCCGCCCAGGTTCCTGCAGCCGCTCCACAAGTGCGACAGTAACCTGACGGACCTGCTGGGGGAGCTGCAGCGCGACCCGTGGCCCGTGCCGCCGGCCAAGCGGCCGCTGCGCTCCACCGGCACGGCTCTCTCCGTGGCCGTCAGTCTGCTGGAGGTGAGTCGGGGGCGCGGCCGAGTCGCTGACCATACCCCGGGACAGTCGGAGGGTCGATACCCCTCCCCCAGGACAGGCAGAGGGCCGCTGTCCCTCCGTTGGGCCTGTCGGAGAGCCACTCCTCTTTTGTTAAATCAGAGGGCCGCTACCCCTCCCCGGGACAGTCTGAAGGCCGCGCTCGGCCCCATACCACTACTCCGATTTAAGTCATAGTGCCCTCGCGCGCCTCTCCCAGATCAGTCCTGGGGCCGCCGCTCCACTCCGTATGTCAGACAGAAGGCGGCGCGCCACATCTACTCTGCAGACGGAGGGCGCGGCCGGATATAGCGGTAGCGCATCCGGCCTCCATCTGTGCTGCTCACTGAATTGTGACGCACTGCTTCGGTCTCGCAGCTGCTCTAGCTTTTATCGTTAGGTTTCTTCTCTTAACTTTCCTTCTGTAATTCGCTGCACGGTAAATGAATAACTCCTTGTTCAATGTCTTCTTCTTCGCATCTTTTATGATCAGTGTGGCCAGATATCACAGTAACGGTCTGTCGCGCTGACGTTATGAATTCTCTGATCTCTCTCCATCTGTCCGGCTCCCTGGTCTGAGTTGGCGCGTGTGTGCCCGCCTCTGACCGCAGGTGTCTCTAGGGATTGACTCGTCGGCCAAGGAGCCCTCCAAGCGGGTAACTGAGGCCCGCCGGCGGCCCGGGTGTGCTGTCCCGTGTGTGTCCCGAGCCCCGCGTGTGTTCCGTCCCTGTAGTCAGTGTCCCGGGGAGCCGCCGACCGGGCGGTGCTCGGTGCTCCCCCCGCCCGGCACCGAGCCACGCGACACGCGGGTGTGGGTGTCCCTGGTGTTGGGGTCCTGTGTGGGTTACCCCGGGCTGGGAGTGGGCGGAGGTTCGCTCGGTGGTGGTAGCTGCCGGTGATAGATACCCAGCGCTGATCACACCACCGGTATACAGGGCTGGTGATAGGGCCGACTTACTCTACCTCCGCTGGACAAGGAGGGTAACGCACAGCAGATCAGCTGAAGTGCGGTCTGATTTTACCGCCCGTATTTTGTAATACTCTTCCTTTTTTGAACTCTAGTCCCAAAATGCACTGCTAGCATACACAATACACATTGAATAGCCTTTTTTTGGCTCTGGCGGTGTGCCAGATGCTCGTATAACACGCTTGTGTGGTGGTTGTGTTTTTACCTATAAATGGTGAACATGTGGTTTTGAATACCTGCCAAAGATGCAGCCCATGAGTAATGTGAATGTCCCGCCTCTTGTCTTCACTCCGACCCTCTCCAAGTTTTGCCATTTGCTCTCTTTTAGGTAGTGGGCACGGCTTTTCTGTACATTCTTAGCAAACCTGTCGCTGTACCTACTGTTCCCTGATGCTCATTGTGGGCTTCTGTGTGTTGATTAGTGGTTCACGCTTTCTGCTCACATTTTGTTGTGTCTGCTGAATAGCTGTGAGTAGGCTAGTCTAGCTTGTAACGGTGGTTTTGTCTGATGGTCCCTAGTTTTTCACATTGCGCGGCTGGTAGTTATTTTTGTGCCTGTTTGTCCCACGTTTAGTTATCTGCACGGATCACAGGGTGAATGTGGCGCTGGACCTTTCGTTTTTTTTTTTTTATTACCGCTTCTTCGTTATGTCCTTGCATTCTGCCTGACTCATTTTTGCTTAATTTCTTTTACTTTCCAATATTTATCTTAATTATTGTCTTTAATGCTGTCTCTTTAGTAGCCCTTAGTTGCTTTAACTTCATGCTCAACTTCGGCTTCCTATCTCATTTTTCCACCCTGTTCCCACGTAGTTCTGTTGTCTAGTTACCACCGTGACCGCTGGGCGGCGCTGCGCTCGCCGGCGTCTGACCGCTCTCCGCCGTGTTTCAGTGCACGTTCCCCAACTCTGGAGGCCGGATCATGCTGTTTGTGGGCGGCGCGTGCTCCCAGGGACCGGGCATGGTGCTCAACGACGACCTCAAGAACCCCATCCGGTGAGTAGGGCCCGAACGGGAGGTGTCTGCCGCTCATAGGACTAAATATCTGAAGAAGTGACTGGGACGGCTGGTAGGTGGTGAATGGTGATCCCAGCGGCCAGCAGAGGCAAAATGTGCCGAGTTTGAGACTGAAAGAGTCATTGTATCGTCAGCTGGTTAGCTGTATCGTCAGCTCGCGGCTGGAAACGCTATTTTTTACGGACGTGCAGCTCGTTTTTTGTGTGCATGACATTGACACACAATCACCCTCCTACCATCCGCAGCTCCCACAACGACATCGAAAAGGACAACGCCAAGTACCTGAAGAAGGCGACCAAGCACTACGACGCGCTGGCAGCGCGCGCGGCGGCCAACGGCCACGCGGTGGACATATACAGCTGCGCGCTCGACCAGACCGGTCTGCTCGAGATGAAGTCCTGCTGCAACCTCACCGGGTTAGTGCGGGGCGGGGAGGGGTCCTGAGGGGAGAAAAGCCGCTAAGTTCCTGCACCTCTCAGGTTTCAGGTTTTAGAACGTTTTGTGGTTTTGTAACGTTAGGTATTGTAGATTTTACTGACAATAATTGTCAAGGTACATTTGAATGGAAATTTGGGTAGATCCTGGCAAATGGCCATTTCCTAACAGCTGCACTGATACTGTGACATGACCGTGCCGTCTGTCCAGCTCCCTGTCACCGTGCGCGCAGTGCCCCTGACGCGGCGTCTGCCCAGTCCCTTTGTCACCGCCTTCACCATGTCCCTGACACGGAGTCCGTCTCTGTCCTGCTGCCACTATCTGCGTCACGTCTCTGACGTGGTGTCCGTCCCCGCTCCACCGACAGCGGTCACATGGTGATGGGCGACTCGTTCAACTCGTCACTCTTCAAGCAGACCTTCCAGCGGGTGTTCGCCAAGGACCAGCGCAACGAGTACAAGATGGCCTTCAACGCCGTCGTCGAGGTGAAAACATCGCGCGAAATCAAAGGTACGGGACTGCTGGATAATTCGGCTCATATTTTGCCTCAGAAAGGTACTTCGTTCTATTTAGTAACGCTATCGTGATTTATCGTAGTTGATTTAGTTCACTTTCCTGTTGAAAAATGAGGCAAGCAACCATTTATGGATGTTTTACTATGCTCTATGTTAGACTGTTCATAGCCCATGACTTGCGTGTTTTTTATCACAGCTGTCCATAATGAGCTCGCAACTGACGTGCTGTCATTTGATACCCCTCGTGACCTTTTTAGCACCCTCCCGTGACTCGCAACTTTTCCTTCTTCCATTCTTTAAGTGTCGGGTTGCCTGGGCCCGTGCGTCTCGATGAACAACAAGGCGGCCAACGTGGGCGAGACGGAGATCGGCGTGGGCGGCACGTCCCAGTGGAAGTTCTGCTCGCTCACGCCAAACACCACGCCCGTCATAGCGTTGGAGATCGTCAACCAGGTCAGTCCGAGAGGGGAACGGCCGGGGCGGGCGGGGCGCAGTGCCGGTAGATGGTGATAGGCGGGTGGTGAGGAGCCGTGCTGACATCGAATGTAGATGAGTGAGCACTGTATGGTGGTCGGTATATGGTTTGGCATCGGTCTCTGTTCCGTGTGCATCATTGGGACTTTGGAGGTTGAGTTTTATTGAGAGTCGTTTGGCTTATATTGCTTGTGCGGTAGACCCCCGTGTTAAAAAACGACAATATATTCAAATACACAGTTAATATATTGTCGTTTTTTATATATATCTGTCATGGATAACACACAAGACCCCTATGTGACATCTCAATGTCCCGTCTATTGTTCGGCAGCACGGGGCGCCGATCCCGCAGGGCGGCCGCGGCTGCCTCCAGTTCATTACGCAGTACCAGCACTCGAGCGGCCAGAAGCGCGTCCGAGTCACCACCATCACCAGAAAGTGAGCCGCCCGGCGCAACCCGACCAAGCGCTTGTACTTTGTAGTCAGACTTTTACACAGATATGAGCTAACTGTGGATGACACCAACAATTCTCAATAGTCCTCACGTTGACATCAGCTGTACTCCGTGTTGCTCAACTGTCAAGTGTCAAGTTACATTGCCTACTTCATTTCATCGACGCCAGGTATCGCCACGTCACAACTGCGCCGTTTTGATTTCCTCAGCTGGGCGGACGCCACCACGGGCATGCCTCACATCTCTGCCGGCTTCGACTCTGAGGCGGCGGCGGTGACCATGGGTCGGATGGCCGTCTGGCGAGCCGAGAGCGCCGAGGGACGCGACGTCCTGCGATGGGTGAGTTATGGTCCCTACTGTAGCCGAGAGCGCCGAGGGACGCGACGGGCTCCGATTGGTGAGTTATAGTCCCTACTGCAGCTGAGAGGGAGGGTGGAAGGGGGGGGGGGGTATGCCGAGAGCGCCGAGGGACGGGACGTGCTCCGATGGGTGAGTACTGAGTGGTCCCTTCAGCTGGGGAGGGGAGAGCCGAGGGGGCCGAGGGATGGGGCGTGGTCTGACGCGTGAGCTCCCACTAGCTAATGGGATGGGGAGGGGGAACTGTGCTTCGTGTCGGCCCAATGACTGTACTGCGGGGCTGTCTGACCGTAATGACTTAATTGCAATCTCCGTCGCGACGTGTAGGCGACTCCGCCTCAGACCCTCCTTACGTAACCCAATCACCGTTTAATCCACCTAATTGCTGTATCGATCGCTGCCTGCACTGATTGCTGGCCTACTGTGATCCCTGTTGATCTCTGGTGACTGTTCTGCGACATTGTGGACCTCTGGACTGACGTGTCTGCGCTGTTGTTGATTGCTGACCGTAGTGACTTCTGCACTGTTCGCTGACCCCGGCTGACCATTACGCACCGCAGGTGGACCGTATGCTGATCCGTCTGGTGCAGAAGTTTGGCGAGTACAACAAGGACGACCCCAACAGCTTCCGTCTGTCGGAGAACTTCAGTCTGTACCCGCAGTTCATGTTCCACCTGCGGCGATCGCCGTTCCTGCAGGTCTTCAACAACTCGCCCGACGAGACCAGCTTCTACCGGTGAGAATAGCTCACAGACCAGCTTCTACCGGTGAGATTAGGTTACAGACCAGCTTCTACCGGTGATAGTTAGGTTACAGACCAGCTTCTACCGGTGAGAATAGCTCACAGACTAGCTTCTACCGGTGAGAATAGCTCACAGGCCAGCTTCTACCGGTGAGAATAGCTCACAGACCAGCTTCTGCCGGTGAGAAAAGCTCACAGACCAGCTTCTACCGGTGAGAATAGCTCACAGACCAGCTTCTACCGGTGAGAATAGGCCACAGACTGGTGGTGCCTGCCTGTTTATTGGCATCGTGTCATTAACTGTTGCATCAGCTCTCTTTATTACATTTAAAGTGGTGCGACGTTTGCAGACGCGGTTTACCACTCTGTGTTTTGTGTTTCGTCTCACCGATAACCGTTCCGTTTTTCAGGCACATGCTGATGCGGGAGGACCTGACGCAGAGCCTGATCATGATCCAGCCGATCCTGTACAGCTACAGCTTCAACGGCCCGCCGGAGCCCGTTCTGCTGGACACCAGCAGCATCCAGCCGGACCGCATCCTGCTCATGGACACCTTCTTCCAGATCCTCATCTTCCACGGAGAGGTGCGCCTTACGATACCGGGATGTTGGAGTTGTTTTGACTTTTATAGTTGACGGTCATAAAGACGACTTTTTGAATAATTTATCTTACGTGTTTGATATTTAAACCAATAACCAAGTTTCGTACGTTGTCTTTTTTATGCCTATCTGTGTTGTTCGCTACCGCTGGGCAGTCCATGCCGTGAGACACTGACGAGCCGCTGTGTTTGGCCATCGCACGGCAGACGATCGCGCAGTGGCGTGCGGCCAAGTACCAGGACCTGCCCGAGTACGAGAACTTCAAACAGCTGCTGGAGGCGCCGGTGGATGACGCGCAGGAGATTCTGCAGACGCGCTTCCCGATGCCGCGCTATATCGACACCGAGCAGGGACACTCGCAGGTCAGTACTTCGAGCGAGCTGCAGTCAGCAGGGTCAGTGTGATACTGAGCTGGGACACTCGGAGGTTAGTACACCGAACAGGGCCACTCCCTGCAGTTCAGTGACATGGAGTGGGGTCAGTATGGGCACCGAGTGAGGTCACTCCCAGGTCAGTATAGACACCGAACAGGGCCACTCTCAGGTCAGTACACCAAGATGGCCAATCACAGGTCAGTATACACCGAGGAGGGTCGGTGGTCACCCACAGGTCACTGGCCGCCACTGCTCGTATAACAGTCGCAGCGGCGCCACTCGTCCCGTTCGCCGCCGTCAGCGCCAGGCAGGGGAAGATTTAACGAGCGCCGGACGGCGGCGGCGGCCTTGTGGCGGGATTACCAGCGGCGCTCTGCCCCCTCCCTTCCTCTGTCCGAGGTAATGCCCCTCTGTTTCAGCTCCCTCTGCCTGGCGAAATGCAACCTCTACCCCTTCCTCTCTGCGGCTGAATTCCCTCTGTCCCTTCTGTCATATGCCGGCCTAAACATCGTTCTGCTCTATCTTTCCTCCCTTTCTTCCTCATCTTCGTACTCCATCAATCAGTTTTGATTTTCGTTCGATTGAGGAAAATAACTCACTTATTCGTACTCCATCAATCAGTTTTGATTTTCGTTCGATTGACGAAAATAACTCACTTAGTTCTTAATGACGGCGCTATGGCCGCGTTATGGCCATACTGTGATGGTGTTGTAAATGTGCTGTGGCCAAGATTTAACCGTGTACTGACCCACCTTCCGTCTGGCCAGGCGCGGTTCCTGCTGCACAAGGTGAACCCGTCGCAGACCCACAACAACATGTACGCCTACGGCGGACAGGTGAGAGCCATCCCCCTGGGTCACGGACAGCTGGGTGTGAGAGGGCACCGGCCGACCGCTGGCACCGCGCGCCGCTACCCAGTAACCACTAGAGACACGGCTGGCCCGGCTTTGGCACAGCGCACACACAGGCTAGATTAGTGCGGAATAACCCGGTAGTGTGATGTGCCACGCCAACTATTTATAGTCGCCTAGGACACGCTTTATTTTGTGCTCTTAGTGCGGCGAACTTCCTCCGTATGGGAGGTTTGTTTCTGTCTTGTGTCGTAATTGAGTATTCTGGTAAATAACGCTAAAGCGTCATTTGCCATTTTTTGCCGTCGTATTCCATCCGTTTTCCTGTGCTTTGCAGTTGTCATGTACCGTAAGGAAAGAATCACCGACTGACCGATAGTACCCTGTCATGTCCGTCCGCAGTATCGTACTAGATGATATCGTATTGCCCCGACCCTTGCCGTATGTTATAGACCCGTGTCGTGCGGTTAAGTACCGTCCACTGGCAGTGCTGTCCCGGCCTCCGGGTCGAGGCGCGGCTGGTGCCGAGTCTCTGTGCCGGTTGTGCCTCGTCTGGTATTGTTCAACCCGTCTGTGTGCCGTCTAACCCATACGTCTGTCGTCTATAACCCGTCTGTATAATCCGTCTCTGTGCCCCGTCTGACCTGGTCACGACTCTCTTCCCAGGAGGTGGCCATCAGCTCGTCCGGGGTACAGTATCGCTCCCTCTCTCCGCGCGCTCACACTCTGTGTCTCGCTGTCGCCACCCGCACGCTCCTCGCTGTGTGTTGCAGCACCGCGCCTCGCTGCTCGCTTGCCGTCGCCTGCTCTCTTGGTGTTGGTGTCGGTGTGTTTGGGTGGTTACGGTAATTTTACAGCACCAGGTGGCGGCGGTGGCGATGGTGGCGGTTTCGGAGCTGCGGCTCGGCGGCTTTCTCATGGGCACCGGGCGCTCGATTTCGCCCTCCCGGGGTTGACGGCGCCCGTCGTGTGGCCGCGGGCGCCGTTGTATGAGGGTGTGTGATTTTGGGTGACAGCGGTCCAGGTGACAGCGGTCCAGGTGACTGATCCAGCATGTGACGCTCGGATTCAGGTGACGGCTGATAGCTTCAGTTGACGGTTGGTTGAGGTGACAGGTGCCGGTCGATGACAGATCCGGCATGTGACGGTCGGTTTGGGTGACAAGTTCGGCAGGTGGCGGTTTCCAGAGGTGCTGGAGGGCCGATACGCGGTGTGTGGGGTTTGGGGGAACTCCGGCGCTACTTCGAGGTAGCGGCGGGATATGGCGATGAGGTCCGGTAGATTCAGAGAACAGTCATAATCCAGTGATACGGATAAATCAACCATGGCAGTCGGGCTTTGCCCATGATAACTGCCTACATAGCGTACGTTTGATCAATACTCGTGGATGGTCAGTAGTCAACCAAGCTGCAATTCTGAATCTGCCGGGCCCGCCGTCCCATGGTGATACCGACGGGGGCTGCTGGATGTTGTGAAGGTGATGGATTGCACATTCATTGCACTGATGTACCCAATGCCGGCAGTCGATGTGTCCCGATAAGCATTTCATGTTCAGTGTGCAAGCAGATGCATTCGTTTGTTCTCGTTCAAGCCCTTCTCGTGGAACAGAAGCTACATGTAACTCCAATTTTTGCCAGCATCTTAATGCAGCGTCTGAAAGCACGAGTTCTTGAAATTCATGAATGATGTATAAGACCCTCTCCATTTATCATAGGTACTTAGTCGGAATTGCACTTAGGACTGAACAACCTCACGAACCCATTTACATGCCCGCCAACTTTCCCGATCTGTTCCTTCGTGACGACACCCGCAGCCTCCCTCCCCCCCCCCCCCCACCCCACTGACCCCCTGTCCCCTGCCGCTTCCACAGGAGGGCGGGGCGCCGGTGCTCACGGACGACGTCAGTCTGCAGGTGTTCATGGAACACCTCAAGAAGCTGGCCGTCTCGTCGCAGGCGTAGGCGGGCCGTGACGGTCAGGGGGAGGTCACGAACTCCCGGGCGGCGGCCTTGTGACCGACCGCCGGGCGGCCCGACACAGAGAGGACCGCCCCCAGCGTGTGACGTGCCGACGACGTGACCATGTGATGTTCTGTTCTTGGGGCGGGGAAACCCGACAGGTGAATTGGCGTTTATTAGTAGATTTTATCTCCTTTGGGCTAATAATAATATAAGTTGATCATGCAATTCTGTGCCCACATCGGATGAATACATATTGCTACACTACATGATGCGCGTTCGCGTATAATTGGTCTATATAAAGCATCGATTCACCACAGGACACCGCGACCGGCCAGGGCGTGGCCACGAAAGACACCTATGTGGCGGACATTGCACCGCGAGCGACAATAATCGGGAGTCAGCCGTCTGTGCGCGCGCGACAAAATACCGAACGTGACATGGAAACTACTCGGCAACCCTAGCCAAAAGGCGGCGCCGGCCAGATCAACAGGCGTGTGGCGGGAGACAGCGAGCGAGACAGTCCAATGGTATAATAAATAGAAGACGAGACATTGCGCGCCCGACTCGGCCTCCGTGGTATAAAAATAGTGCCGGCGCGCCGGGCCGCGGGTGGCGGTCCGGGCGACTCCGGCTCTATAGCTCCTCCGTTGGCACTCCGGCGCCGGACGCGGCACGGCGGCGACAATCAGCGGCGCGGCGGCTGCCGGCGGACTGGGGGACGGGCCGCCGCGCACCGGACTGGCCTGGTGAGCGGCGGCCCCTCGGACAGCCCGCCGGCCGCCGCCACCGGTCGGTCGTAGAGCCGCCCGCCGGCCGGACCCGGCGGTGACCCGGCCCGGCCGGCGGCTCGGCGCTCTCAGTTCAGGTAGCGGATGGACATTTTGCCCTCGACCTCTGTGCGTTTGAGCGCCTCGGAGAACTCTGCCAGGCTGATGGCGTCGTCGTTGTCCTGGTCCACCTCGCGGATGGTGCGGTCGGCGATACTGGCCAGCTGCTCGTCACTGAAACAGAGGCGCCGGGTCACTGTCACTGAGTCACTGCACGGCGATACTGGCCAGCTGCTCGTCACTGAAACAGAGGCGCCGGGTCACTGTCACTGAGTCACTGAAACACAGGCACTGGGTCACTTGACAGCGATACCGGCCAGCTGCTCGTCACTGAAACAGGGAGCCAGGTCACTATACTGAAACAGAGGCGCCGGGTCAGTGTCACTGCGGGTCACTGCAGTCACTATACGGCGGTACTGGCCAGCTGCTCGTCATTACAATAGCGCGAACGCGTCACTGCCACTGAGTCACCGAAACACAGTCACTAGGTCTGAGGTCACTATCACCGAATCACTGCAATCCAACAGCTACGAGGTCACTGCGGCGGCAATGACAGGTCACTGGGACGTTCACTTTAAAGGAAAAGGGCCACCTTTAACATGGGGATTGAAACTGAGATAGCCATCTTGTAGCCCGTGTCCGAAAACCTCTCTGTCAACCTCCTTACGGCCGATTTCGGCCTCCATTCGTAGTTATCGGCAATTTTAAAAGAAAATATGCCAGGAATGCGTTCTTATCCCAGGAATGCGTTCTTATCCGACAATACAGCCACCCGCGGCGAGGCTTTGGTTTTTAACCAATCAGCTTGCAGCAGTACTGATCAGGCACGGATCCCTGTACTAGCGAGCAGACCACGAGCAGTTGCGTTATTTTTCGTTGTCTGTTCTGGCAATCGGCCGGCGGATGAACATCCGCAATCGAATCTTGAAATCCGTCGCGCTGATTGGTGATGAGTTTCATGAGCTACTTTCATGAGGTCTATGAAAGTAAACCTATGCTATGCCCTGAACAGATGACATCTCGTTTGGTAGCCAATTGCTAAAATGCATTTTTATCTTACGCAAGGCAGTATACCATATTTTATACCGTGGCCATGGATTAGGTATTCCTGGATCGGACACTCCGCCGATTTTCCGACCACCCGGCGGCGGCGGCGGATTTCCCGACGGCGAGGGCGCTGGCGTCATTTTAGCATTGCGGGCTATGGGCGGAGCGTGTCTTTTTGTATACTTTTGTCGTTTATTACTTACCTATAACCGATTTTGATGAAAATTTTTGTGAACCAGGTAGAACAGGAATTGAGGAATGTCATGGAAATATTATTTTCCCAGTTTTCATTTAAGAAGTTGCTTAAATTCTGCTGACAAAAGAGGGTTCGTGATTACAGCCGAAGAGCCAATGTTGGAATAAAGTTAAGTTGTATGCGATAACATGAAAATAAGTTGATATTTGTATTAAATCATCAATAGAAACTTGTTTGACTGCCGAGGAGCGATGATATTTGATGATAAATTGCATCGGCAAGTCAAGAATACCGGCTCAGTTTATGGGCATCAGGTAATGATTCTGTATGTGATAGTGACTAAATGGAGCCATAATAATTATAAGAAAGGACTAAAAATTATGTTTAAAGTGTTTGAAATTGTGTCTTATGAGCTTAAGTTCGCTAATTTCGCCCTCCATTACCGCGTTTTTAGCACGCAAGCCGGTGCGGCGGCCGCCGGCGCACTCGCCGCCGATGTTTCGGAGCTCCGCCACCAGGGCGGCCGCTTGGTCGCCGGCGCTAGTGTTGGGGAATAGGAAGTGTCCTATCCAGGAATACTTCATCCATGCCGTGGCTCTGATCCGAAATCAGGGCATTTTTGTTCGAACAAATACCTATAATAACGATGAAGAAGTGCGTGATCCGCGGAGCAAACGACCTACGTCGGGTCGGGACTGATATGCGTGTGACTGTGCACAAGTAAGTACCTAGGTACCTAGGTAGGTACCTAAATTCTTATTTATTGCAATGGCTCTTCTATTACTTTTGTTTTCACAGAACTCTCCCCTGGATTAGCAAACCCTTTTGAACTGTTCAGGCTTTCACAACTGAAATGCCAGACTGGATAAAAAACGCAAGTTATGCCGAATATGCCATGCGAAGTGGCGTGATTGCGGCGTTGCCCCGAAAATTTCATCGCACATCCAGCATAATTTTGCATGCGTCAAATTCAGCGCATGGTGGGAGCTGAATTTTTAGGCGCAGGGTGACCGCATGGCGCATAATGTTTATGCAAATGGCTGTCACCGAATTTTTTGACACGCTGTGGTCAATCTAGCAGCACTTGCCCTGCGGGCGCTGGCAGGTCTGAAGAGAGTCGAAACTTCCGGCCTGGGCCTTGTTTCACCTTAAGATTCTACAGTGTGCCACACAAATTGTGGTATTGGGTTTTCATGGGAACATTAACTAATTCAGACGCTCAGAAAGGGAAGAGCGTCTGACTCCGAGGCCCCGGAACGATCTGTCTGGTTGATATAGCCTTGGTCGGTAGATATGCACATGTGCTTTATGTAAAAGTGGCTTAATTTTGGTGCAAACAGGCACCCAACTTTCAGTGGAAATCATGCACTGGAATTTCAGCTCAAAATTGCTTGCTTCAAATTTTGGCGCATGAGGGCCGAGGGGCTCACGGGCATCCGGCGTAGTGTATGGATGTTTTCCAGTCTGGCTGAAAGGCAGAACTCAGACACATTTATCCAGCCCTTCAAATCCCATTTCCTGGTTGTGGTAACACCTACCTTTCCATGGGGGTTTGGTTCATCTCTTGTCTACACAGTTTTCTTTCACTTATGTGCTGACAAGAAAAGGAAACTCACCAGAGCCCAGTTTCACCAAGTGCGGTAAACTCAATTTGGGGTAAACTACCAAACTACCCCACTACTTAACTACAAAAACTACCCCAAAATTAAGTTTACCACACTTGGTGAAACTGGGCTCAGTGGAGCTATTCAGCTTAATACACAGAGTATGTGTTGCATGGACTAAGCATGTGTTGACCCTTTTTTACTTTTAGGTTCCCGCTAAAAAAAGAAGTACAGAGAAAAGTGGATGAGGGTGTGTGGCATGACCAATGAGCCAAGACCACATGACCACTTAAACTTAACAAGAAGTGCGCACCATGATAAGCACAGTCAAAAACGTTTGCGTCTAAAGAACAGTGCTGTGCCGGATCAGAATGTAAGTTATTTTTTAAAAGTGATAAAAATGCCTGCAAAGTTATCAAAAGACTTTGAATATTGTTTTTGTAACACTTCACTCTAAAGTTATTCCTAGTACCAGACATTACAGCTTTAGTGCAGAGTCTTTATTTGTGATATTTTTAGCCAAAAATTATTACTAGTACCGAGCCCTTACAGCTTTACAGCCCTAGTACCTTGCCCTTATTTTTTATATTTTTTAGCCATTTCAACCTAACCGAATATCTGTATGTTTGTATGTTATTGTTTTGATCTGTATTTTATGCTACCTCCCTATAGGTAAGTTTTATTAAAACATGTGGTAACGGTGTGCTGATTTTTTACAGATTCCGTATACGCCTTGGGTTGCTGTCGCTGCTCGGTCACCCACAGATGAAAGTGATCAAGAAATGGACATCACTCAGGTAAGATTCAAGCGTCCTTTATTTTACACATAATACAGTAAGCAGTAGCACCCTAACCGCAACATATGGGAATGCATTGCCTGGTGGGTGCCTACTGCCTACCTGTATGCCAAGTTTCAGCTAAATCGCCCCAGTAATTACAGAGTTATTGAAATGGGAACAAATTCGGCACCTCTTCTTTTTGCATTTTGCACGTGCAGTGGGGGTCACTCACATAGATCAAGAGCATCCGACCTTTGGTTGAAGGGGTGCAGCTACCCTACAAAATTTACCGCAAGACCGCCCAAGCGGCTGCTGAGATGAGCCTCTCAAAATCACTTCTTTTGCAACTTTTGACAAATAACACCCTTGACTTTTCACGTGGCACGTGCCACGACGGTCCCTGTAATGTATCAAGAGTAGTCAATTACGGGGTAGAGGGAATAGGGCTAGCCAACAAAAAAAAAAAAAAAAAAGACCGCAGGCCAATCGGTCCAGCGGTTGCTGAGATATAAGCCTCTCAAAAGCGTTACAGGCCGGGCCGGGTCGGGCCGCTCATACTGAGCTTTTTCCGTGATATTGAAAAGACTTCGCTTCGCTCGCTCGCTCGTAATTAACAATTCATGGTTGACTATATGGATTAAGCTAAGTGATTGCGCTCTATTAGCACACTATCTAAGTAGCCCTTAATTGCTGCCGGTGCGTGGACTGTGAAAGTGAGCCGAGCTGTGACGCAAACCGTGCGCCTTTTTCAGGTGTGGGATCACTCGTGGAAGTTCACGGCGGATACGGAGCCGTGCATGCAGCTCTGGTTCGATCCTGCTCAGGGAAGCCCCAATGACGCCGTGGCGCGCATCTGGGCTGAGCGGGTGGTGGCGGCCGGTGCGCGGGCGCTGCCGCGTGGCTGGTGGCCGCGGCCCTGGCGGCAGCGGCCCGCTCCTGACCCGGTCGCCCTGTGCCGAGCACAGAGCGCCGACTGAGGTCAGTCTTGTGATCGAGCTTCCGCGCCGGAGGTGGAACAGGTGGAGCTGGCGGTCACCTGCGCGGGCTCGGCGGCCTGTAAGCCGTGCCGAGACGAACCGCGACACTCTTGCTAGATCTGCACCCCATTGTAATCTTCTGTAGTCGATATTCGGTAGGTACTCAATGCTCATTTTTCTGATATTAGACGAGTGGCGGGTTTTGATGTTACATTGGAGACTGCTGTCTCGGGTGGCCCGACAGTGTTCGATTGTGGTGTAATGTAGATACATAGACGGGATGCCGCGGCTCGGATTCGTAGCTGGACTACCATGTGCCTGTCGATTGAGATGCTTTGCCTGGCGATTGAGATGATTCGGGGCGCGGCCCCATACTGACGCCATGGTGCAATGAGTGACTGGCGACAACTAAGCAATTATGTACTTTTGTAGAACACATGTTTTCATGGATACGAGAGGCAGTCCTTTTTTTCGCTAGCAGTCATTTGGTTCACGATACTTTCGATACCGACAAATATGTTCGGGCGGCCGGTCCGTCCACAGCTAATGCGTGCTTGCCCGCCGATGCCTA